CTGACATCTAGAATTGAAGTAGAAAAGCAAAATTTAACTGATGTTTCTGAAATAATATTTTAAAAGATTTTTTATTCTACATTTAAAAGTGAATAAAATTCAGTAGTCAGTTCTATATCTGAAGGACCATAGGAGTTTTTATTTTTTCACTTTCATCTCAAAATTCAAAGGTCTCCAATGCCTGAAAGTAGTCTAACTTGTATTAAGAAGTTTTACACAGGGGCTGTTAACTCCAGTTTATAAACTTGTTAAATGAGCCTAAATGTTTATAGTGTTTTTGAGTTTTGTACTTAGCTCTAAAAATAAAGTGTGCAGCAGTCGATCCAGAAATCAAGTAAAGACCACCTCCATTATACTTCTTGAAAAAGACTGAGGTGTTGTTAAATTAATACTTGTTTAAATCCCAGGGCTTCCAATGTCTAGTTGAGTGTGTATGTGCACTGATGCTGATTCACTGGTTTGACTGGAGTATCTACGATCAGCTTTTCTAACTACTCAGTCAAGAATGAATTAAAACCACCTAAAACATAGTGGAAGGGATACTCATAACAGTATCATTCCTTTAGATTGTTATTCTTTGTCCTGGGATGACTGCTATAACACACTGAAAGGGAAAAAAGAAAATATGTTATCTTTTTGATGATCTCTCATACCTCAGTTTCTACATTTTGGCTGCCCCAGTGGCAAACTGTACAGCGGTAGTCACATCCTAAGAGTCATTCCAAATGAATCTGAGTTTTAAAAAATGCCAAGGAAAATCCCTTATCATGCAAACAATGTCTATTAACTGTCCAATGTATCCACATAAAGTAGAAACCAACACTACAGTGAACAGTATGCTGGAAAGTAGTGATTTGTGCATACCTACAGGAATCTGGGTTAAGAACAAAAAACAAAACAAATATGTAACTGGCCTGAAATGAGTTTTAATTTATTGGGATCCTTTGTTCTTTTTTTTTTTTTTTTTTTGACAGGCAGAGTGGACAGTGAGAGAGAGAGACAGAGAGAAAGGTCTTCCTTTGCCCTTGGTTCACCCTCCAATGGCCGCCGCGGCCGGCGCGCTGCGGCCGGCGCACCGCGCTGATCCGATGGCAGGAGCCAGGAGCCAGGTGCTTTTCCTGGTCTCCCATGGGGTGCAGGGCCCAAGCACCTGGGCCATCCTCCACTGCACTCCCTGGCCACAGCAGAGGGCTGGCCTGGAAGAGGGGCAACCGGGACAGAATCCGGCGCCCCAACCGGGACTAGAACCCGGTGTGCCGGCGCCGCTAGGCGGAGGATTAGCCTAGTGAGCCGCGGCGCCGGCCCCTTTGTTCTTTCTTATTCTAAGCTTTTTAAAGAAGGTGTTTTAGTTAGTAAAAGCACAAACAATGTATTTTTTTTAAATTTTTGACAGGCAGAGTTAGAAAGGTCTTCCTTTACCGTTGGTTCACCCTCCAATGGCCGCTGCGGCTGGTGCACCGCGCTGATCCGATGGCAGGAGCCAGCTGCTTCTCCTGGTCTCCATGAGGGTGCAGGGCCCAAGCACTTGGGCCATCCTCCACTGCACTCCCGGGCCACAGCAGAGAGCTGGACTGGAAGAGGGGCAACTGGGACAGAATCCGGTGCCCTGACCGGGACTAGAACCCAGTGTGCTGGCACCGCAGGCGGAGGATTAGCCTATTGTGCTGCGGTGCCGGCCAATATTTTTGCAAATACAGGTTTTTATAAAAAATATTTACATGATGGTTGTCTCCAAATGTCACTGAAAAATTGTGACTTCATTTTTTATAAATTAACCAAATGGCACTGCTGTTCTGCTCTCGTCAATTGATAGTTTTACTCTATTAGGCAGAAAGCTTTGTTTTAAGAGAAAGAAAAATGGCTGATAGTAGTTCTGCCAAAGATCTACAGTATGTAGCAAAGTTAAAGCTGCTATAGATTCCACATTCCTTAAAAAAAACAAAAAAACAATGAATGACCAACCTGAATCAGTGAGGGAACCTGAAAACCAACTTATTTTCTCACAAGGAATTGATCTGAGGAGATTTGGAGACATAGCCAAACAGAACTGCTGCTGCTTCTGGTGAGGGAAGATGATAATATAGGCTTAATTTCACTTTCTGGTCAGACAAGCTTCAAAAAAAGTTGAGGGATTTTATGTTGTCAGGGTTCGAGTAGTGGAGGAATGTTAAAAGTCATAGAGAAAAGAGCTTCCCTGGTGATACCTAAGACAGTAGCCACACATTATCACACAGACAGGTGGAGGCGAGGAGAAGCGAACGTCAGTCACTTGTTCCCTTTTTAATAAAGTTACCAGAGAACTGGAAACCTTCTGACTTCATCCCCCAGACAACATTCTTTCTTATACAGTAGTGGTTGTGACAATTACAAGGCCAAATCTATGTGTAGTTTGAAATCCTGCAACGATTTATTGGTACCAAGAACCAACACTTAGACAAACTGTACAAAGGCATGTCTATTTCCTATCACACAGATAGTTGTGACTTTGTGTAGAAAAGTAGGTAACTAATGCCAGTTTCTCACCAACGTTACACACTGGTGCCTCTACCACTTACCTTTGTCCTGGAACCCTTGGAAATGTCAGTTCCATTCATACAAAGCCCAAGCAAACCACAGAGAAACCAAATACCGTGAAGATTTCAAGAATCAGTTTATAAACTGACCAAGCTGGTGCTCCATTTTATTTGTTTGAAGTTGCTGAACTGTCGCTCCCCCTCTTCATGGAGGAATGACACTAAACCCTGCCTAGGCTTCCTATCCGAGTCACGGCACCATTATGTCGCTCCCCCTCTTCGCGGAGGAACAACACAGGACCCTGCGCTGTTCTTTTGTCTGCTCGGCCCTTCCCGGGTTTGCTGCTGGTTCTTCCCGGGTTGGCTACCGACCCTTCCACCTCCGTGGAAGGGCGGTTCCCCCTAGCCACTTTCCCCACTTCCGCGGGGGAGCGGCACACCGCCGGCCGGCTCTCTCGGGGGCTGCACAGGTGTTCCTTCAGATAGATGTTCCTGGTGCATGTTGTCTCTCTCCTCCTTTATAGTCCTCTTCCACCAATCCCAACTCTGCTACCCACACGCCGAGTACGCTGCTCTCCTCCAATCAGGAACAGGTCCTGCTGTTTATTGGTTGAACTGGAGGCAGCTGTGTAGAAGCTGTTACTCCCTTCTCAGCGCCATATTGTGGGAGAGCAGATGCATAGAATAAGTCTTAATTCCAGTAACAGTCTAGTCCGAGTTGCTCCCCACACTGAACCTTACTTTTAAAGTATCTCCCTAGAATATACATAAAAAAATTTTCAGAAATGACAAAAACTTACTAGATTGCAAAATAACTGGCACTTGGTAATTTAACCAAAAGCCCAACTTGGGCACTATGAGGCTAATACAAACATTGTACACATACTAGATCTCCCACAAACGAGACAACTACTTTAACAATGTCGGTATCGAGTGTATGGGCGCAGTTCTGGGAAGTTTATGGAGGAGCTGGCATGTGGCACAATGGGTGAAGCCCCCATTTGTGATGTGGGAATCTCATATTGCTTCACTTAAGATCCAGTCTTCTGCCAGTGTAGCTGGGAAGGCAGCAGAGGATGGACACAGTACTTGGGCCCCTGCCATCCAAAATGGGAGACCAGGATGGAGTTCCTGGCTCCTGGTTTTGGTATGGTCCAGCCCTGGACATTGTGGCCATTTGGGGGAGTGAACCAGTGGATGAAAAATCACTCTGCCACTCAGCCTTTCAAATCAATCAATCTTTAAAAAGTTTATGGAAAATAGAATTAGGAGTTAAGTTTATTTTGGTGCATGATTTTGAAATCTATAGTTTTTTCAAGAAAGTTCTGAAGACCCCTTAATAGCATGCACTTCAAATATTTTGTACCAAAATGTATCTTTTATTTATATTTTGCAGGAGTTTTTCTGAAGTGCTCTCATGTATGTGTTATGTAACAATTATAACTGTGAAAGTATAGTGTTTTGAGTTGTACTACTTCAAAGGGTACAAGACTCCATTTTCCCGGCATTCACAGATGTGTAAGATCACACGTTCTGGGCAATAGTGGCAAGACATTCTCAGAATTCTCTCAACAGAGGGCTGACTGTATCTGCATTAGTGTTGCAAATATTAAGTTTTAAAGTGGATTTTCTTTTAACAGAAGAAAAGTATTCTTAATAACACAGCAGTAAATTCCCTTCAAAGGAATTTTGATAAACGTTAGCTATCATTTAATCTTACCTGTTTTGCCCTGCTTTTGTGTTGACTCTGAAAAGACCCATTAGAGGACAAACTTTTCTCCAGGTTCCACGAATACTCCTGAAATCAGAAAGCAAGGGCTTGTTACCATGGCTCCACATGGCACCCACATGAAGCAGCTTAATCTATAGCAGTTTCAGAACACTGCTTTAGTCACCACCACCCAATCCTCACCCTGGCACTGGTAAGGCTCCACTTGGAGTGGCTTAAAGCAAAGACTACAGAATCCTGTCAGCAAAGGGCTAAGTCAAATTCACTCTCAAAAGAAGGGCATATAGTACAAGTGTAATTTATTTGATATCTGTATTAATAGGATACCAATTAAATTTCTAATTACATCCTACCTTAAAGAAATATGGCATATTTTAACGTTGTCTTCTAAAAATACAGTAGTTGCCAATTTAACTAAAACAACTTTAGAAAAACTATCAAGGCTGATTCTTACTTAGATTGGAAATTTTACCTTCAAAATAAACTGATTACTGGAATTATACACAAATATAAATGTTAAAGAAACCTGGACAAATGGAAAAGAAATATTTGAAATCCTATCATATAAATAAAGCCACCATTAGCAATGTATTTCCTCATAATCTTGTGGGCAATGTAGCAATTTAGAGAAAACTTTTTAATTATATTTAAATAGTTCTTAAATAACTAAAATTGTTAAAGGAAAATGTTATTTAGGGAACAAGTTCAATCACTTAATAAATGGCTTTCAACCTCTCGTTCAGTCCATTTTCTCAATAACATGCCGTAGTATAAACTTAGCAGTATTTTTGGATTGACTGTAAACAAAACCTGAAGTGATGAGAAAAGAAGAAATGAAATATCTAAGATTTGCGTGACCTTGAGGAAGGACTATTATTACTCAAAACTGCCTGCTTCTGATGATACCATTAAAAGTGGTATTTTTACTATTCTTTATTGTGGTATTTTTATTCTTCTTTATTTTTGACTAAATTTCAACTAAAACAATCTCTACAATACAATTATCTGGATCCTTTAGTTAACTGAATATTACTCAAGACTTTCAAAGTCACATTTATTCCTGAGAGTAGCTCTGTCTATATGCCTTCTGCCTGATTTTATCCCCTAACTTCAATTTATTACATAGCACCTAGAAGTCTTTATCCCCCCATGATTTCTTTAAATCTGAATGATCCTATCCGATTTCCCCCCTCATCCTCTCAGCCAGTTTTCATGTTTACTACAATTTTGCTTTTAGGTTTTCAGAGTACCTGAAAATGTGTATTTTAATTGTACCAAATTCTATTCGTTGCTCTGTAATTTTATCTCTACAATTTAAGACAGAAGTGACACAAAGTAGAAAAATGCATCTTTAGGATGAAGTCAAGATACCAAGATAGACATTCTTTAAAACAAAAACTATTATAAATTCAACCATTCTGATCATTAGAACAATTTATCAAGAGTCATAGCGTGAACCGTTTCTGACCTAACCCTTGAGAAGTCACTGGCAACAAACTAACTTCTTTTCATCTGTCACCACTTTAAGATTACTGACTTTTTTCAACATGACTATTTATTTCAGTTGGGGACAAATGGAGAAGCACTGGTAATCTTAGTTTATTATCAAGACAAATGATAGTAAAGATAGGTGTGAACTCAAAGCTGGATTCCAGATTTTCACTTCAGTGCAACTCACCTTCTGGAAGTACTAAACATGTTTTTTAAACCTTCTATTTTTTCGTATAACTAAATTGTATGTTCCAAAGTTGTGATCCATCCTCTACTGATGTTTAGCACTCATTATGCATTAATGCTCACTTGATCCAATTTAGACAGTCTCTGAAGGAAGATTAGACATACCAAATCCGAGTTCAACATCCTAAAAAAATTTGGGGACCACTACACAAAACCAAAAAATTTGGAGGAAATGTTTCAATTCTATTAGAAACAGCTTTTTATAGATGCTTAAGTAAGGGACTCTTTTGGGGTCCATGTTTGTTAAGGGCAGTATTTTGTATATATAAACAGCACTATATAATTATTTTACTATAAAAATTTTTCTATCTGATCACTAGTCACTGTTTATTTAATAGATGGAGTTTTATTCAGCAAGTAGCTTAGAAACACAGGAAAAAATTCACCATAGTTTCATTTAAAAAACGGGAGATCTTCAATAGCACATTTTTAAAAAGCCATTTGTGTCAACTGCTGAGTGATACTTCCTTTTTTCTTTTTGAAACAGTGTGAAGTGTACTAAAACTATATACTTAAGCTAAGAAAAAAAGACCTATCATAAATGAATTCAAATATACAAAATAATGCAAACAGCCTATATTACAAAAATATTCCCAAATAGGAGATTCTTCCATGATAAAGCTAATCATTTGATTTTCTGCTAAATATAACAAATCTCTTTTCCAAACAATTTAGCAGAATGTTTTTCTTTCCCACTCAAACAAGTCACATAAATTCAGGTATCTCAAGAAATGGGTATGGGTTTATGTTGCTTGGCGTTTTCACAAACTGAGATGCATGAGTGAAACTTATTTTGGATGTTCATATAAGGTCAGCATTTAAGACTGCAAACTGTTTTTAAACATCTAATGACTAAGATTGATAGAAATATTGAGATGTTTATTTCCTTGAGTAGAATTTGCAGCATCCTGAAAGCTCTATGCTTGGAATCAAGTAAAACATACTATACCTTCTTCTAATTATTTTTAAACCTAAAAATCTCTAAATCTGTATCAGAGCAAACAGCCACCAAAGTACATCCTCCCATCACAATTCATTTTAACCTACAAGATGAATTTTTTGATAACATAATTTGATTTACAAGGACTAGTTAACTATTCCATGTATCCAGTTTTGACATCACCAGGCACAGCCTAATTCCAATAATGCCATTTCTGACCTTTCTAACTCAATCCACATTTGTTATAAAAACAATTATTGTTCCAAGTTTCTGCAAGCTCCACGTCAGCAGGAGGTGCGAGTGGCGTGGAAGGTCCGTGATAAATGCCGGAGGGAAGGAGTGCCGCGTGTCACTCAAAGGTGACCCCTTTCCACTGATTAAGGAGCAACAAGGACAGGCTCTCATCAAGTTCATCACTTACCTGGAAAGGTGTATGAAGGCATAGGGATTGCATATTCTACCAGTAATTTTTTTCATGTGAAGGTATTCATTTAACTTTCTATAACAGCATAAAGAAAAGTAGCACGCATTCTCTGTACTCTATATAAAAGTATTAGCATTAATGCACTTATCTTTACTTAAGACTGGGTATTTGTTTACTAAGAGCAAAAAAGCACAGCCCACATTTTATCTACTCTAGAACAATAGGAGTAAACTATTTGATTAATTCAGATTCAAAAACCAGAAGTCAATTATTACTACAAATTTAAGAACCATCTAAGACCGAATTTTTTTCCAACAGTGGATACCATAAACAATAAAACTCAAAATTATTTAAGCCTAATTTACCTTCCCAGACTGTATGTCTTTCTCCTTTGAACAGTCAATCCCTATCCAACATAGCACCTACTACTAAGCAGTTATTCAAGAAAAAATGAATTTAGAATGACTGCTTTCATGTATGATTTATACGAGAAAAATGTTTTCCTATTCACCTTGGAGTTAGAGAAATGGCAGAAAATGTTTATACTTGGGTCATTCTTTTCTGCTATGGAAATTAAGAATTAACATACAGAAAGAACTCTAACTTTGAAGAGATCCTTTCTAAGATAGAATGGCCCATAAACATTGCATGGGGAAAAGCTGTATCTTAACAACTCAGACATCTCCTTCCAGGCTTTATTTATATTGTAACAAGGGCTCTACTAGGCATCTTGTCCCTAAACAATTACATGGAACCATGATGCCAAACCTGGCAGAGTGTGACGAATAGCATTACTCAGCCTTGTCTTCAGTTGCAACTTCGAGAAGTCTCCAGCAGAAATGCTGGGACTCAGAAAGACTCTGAATTATATTTACTTACTTAGAATTTCTTCTATTTCTAATATTCATTTAAGGCAATTATTATGGTTTCTATAATAAAATGTTAAGGAAGAAGACTGACACTTTGCAATACTATTGGAATACTCTGGTTTTTCCTCGCAGGTTTAAATCCATACTCATCTTGGTATTGTTAGCTAGGCAACAGAACATAGCAATCTATGTATGCTAAGTTGGAATTCTGAGGAATTGCAAAACTACAATGATACCTTCTTAAAGGTACAGTCCTCAGTGGCATTTGAGTGTTTTATACTGTATGTTCTCATACAACAGTTATGAGATATTAATGCAAATAACAAATAAACATACTTATTTAGTAAGTATCTAATTTAGCAAACTACTTTTTTCTGAACATTGTTAAACCGCAACTCACAATGCTTTGGAATTATACCAACTAAAGAAATTACTATCTTTGCCTTTTGTTTAAATGGTTCATTATAAGCAAAAGAGGTAAGAAATAGAAAAAGCACTATTTATTAAGTGTCACACAGTGTGATTAGCTAACAATACTATCATGACAAGTATACATAGTTTTATTGCCATCAGACTTGCAAAAAAACCAAAGCTCAGAGGAGGATTCACTTGTAATTAGTTACTAAGAATCTGGACAAGATTTGAAACCGTGTCTGATGTCAAAGCCTATGTTCTTAAATTTAAATTATTTTACCAAGCAATTATCCCAGATGTCTTGGGATTAAAAATGTTCTTATTCATCTTCTGGGGACGTATTTTACTCCGAGTATTTTAAAATCCTTCAGATAGTTTCCAATAAATCATTTTTTCTTTAATACTTTGGAGATCAAATAAATAAAAAGGGATTTGCATGGAGTCAAATTTGAAAGCTAAACAGAAGCAACTAATATCTTTGACAGTATGTATAAAAAGTAACATTTAAAAACAGGCAAACAGGCAAACAGGTATATCAGATTATAAATCTAGTAATAAGATGCTGAGCATTTGTATCTTGTTGAAAGATCTATTTTCAAGATAAAACTTAAGTGTGCTTCTTTAGATTAATTGCTGTAATATCATCACTTTGGTTACATGAAAGTTATTTGGAAATTTTAATGTTTCTTTTCCACCTGCATCACAATATAACTTAGTCCCACTAGTAAAGCAACTCCAATTTCAAAAGTAGTTGAGATCCACGCCCCTCCACTTTCTTTTAGTAATACTACAAACTGCCATTAGGATCAAAAACGAATTGAAGCATTACTACCCTCTAAATTTATACCACACACTATGACTTTGGATAATCCCAAATCTATAACTTAGATGCCACTTTTAATCTTAATATTTAATAAAATGTATTATGCAGAATATTTTCACTTACAGAACACTGGTTACATGAAGCAGTAATGTATTTTGTATGTCAACTATGAAAACTAAAAAGATCAAGTGACTGAATTGTCAAGACTTTGCATATTCTATGTATTTAAAAGCCAAAAGAGTGTTATTTATAAATTTTAGAAATGTTTATTTTAGAAATGCACAAAACTAAAATACGTATTTTAGTCCAACCACCTACAGAGAAGAAACAGGGAACTACATATTTAAAGGTGCACATTTGTATGAGTATCCTTGCCATGATTCTAAGATCTAGATCACCTTAGAAGAGGACAGACATTACATTTTGATTTGAAAAAAAAAAAAAATTAAATTAATTTTTGTACATATACAATATAAATAGATAAATAATATCACTTTCAGAACAAAAAAAGATTAATGAAAGCAGTGTATCAAACAGAACTATTTTGACTTTTGGGTCAAATCTCACATACTGAAAAAGAAGCCCATACTATAGTTTTGCAGAAGTGCTTCAAGTGCTGTTAAAATTTAGCAAAGCTGTCTGTAAAGTCTGTCAATAAATAAATTAGTGGGTAATACACTATGAAGCCCATAAAGGATGACAAAGCAAACTGAACAGGTTTAGAACATTGACTCATACTTTTTGGCATCATCATGAAAACTCAGTGACTGATCGACACATCATTTCCAAGGTCACCAATAAGGCCTCGGTGTGTACTCCAGGACACACTTTCAAATTCTCAGGAAGTTCCTTAAGAATAGTTGGCAGCTTCTGCAATGTCTTTATATTTCTAGCATAAAGGTCTAATAACCAGTCAGTATGAGCACTGGGGGTTTCTTTGTAACTTTTACAAGCCATAAGCAGTTCATTAAGATGAGTTAACCCTTTGAAAGTTAAAATGAACTCTGAGGATAAATCAAAAATTGAACAGAAGTTTAACAACATTCTACTAAGTAAAAATGAACCAAATTCAAGCTGCTGGTGGTAAAAATGTTTCTCTGCTTGTGCATGGAAGTTCTCCACTGTATCCTCTATCTTTGTCATAGCAAACAGCTCTTCTTTGATTTGAGGTGATACCACATAATCCAAGGGCAACTCCCCCTTAGAGTTCCTCTGCTGTAAAAGCACAGGGCCTATAAAAAACAAAATGCAAAATGTTAAAACATTTTTATGTTAGCAGCATAATAGTGGTTTTCCTTATCTCCATCCACCCCCCAAAACATCAGGGTTCTGTTAACAATCATATTTTGTACTAACTCATGTTGACATAATTAACTGGCTGTACATATTGACTGCTGAATATAGGTGCATTAAAAAAGAAAAATTCTAGTTAATTGCCCAAAGAGGTTTGCCTGAAAGTATATGCCTTAAATAAGTATTTATGACAATAAAGAAGAAAAGTTTTTATAGAACTTCATCAACTGCCATGTTAAAACAGAATTTCAGTGTTCCCAGAAGGAATTAACAACAAATTGATCACAAATTCTAGGTAAGTGTCTTCTCAGAACATCTCCAAGAGGAAACAGTGGTGCCCCTTTCCACTGCTGAGAAGTGATTCTGGCAGTGCAAAGAATGTAAAGGCCTGTACAGAGATAGAATACATTTTCCCCTTCACCCTGTGCTTATGTTCAATTTTTAGTGTAGGTAACTGTTCCACAAAAAATCAAGAGTTAATTCTTCTGGATCAAACTCAGATCCCATCCCTCTGTCCTAGTTAAAGCCATTTAACCACTTACTTGGAAAGCACTGGAGAGTTTATCACCCAGGTAGTAAAGGGTGATGTGAGGGGGCAAAACACACTGTAAAGGATAGGAGTAATCTGTACCTTTGTCAGTGAGGTCTTACAACTACTTATACACCTGGCAATAAAAATGTTACACTGGATATAAAGGTTTAGTACTAGCAGACATCGTCAGGAGGTACTACCACTGTAACAGAGAAGATACTGTCAGAGAATAGACTGTAACTGCAGAAACTTTTAATGGAGACTCTAGTCAGACATATACAGTAGCCAAGATACACAATGTATATAAAGATTAACTACTGATAGCATAATTTATGGAAAAAACAGAATTCTGAATCAAAATTACATTTCTTTCCAGCCTGGTATTGTGGCATAGATTACTCTGCCTTTCAAGAAATACATGAATTAGGCCGGTGCCGCGGCTCAATAGGCTAATCCTCCACCTAGCGGCGCAGGCACCCCGGGTTCTAGTCCCAGTTGGGGCGCCGGATTCTGTCCCGGTTGCCCCTCTTCCAGTCCAGCTCTCTGCTGTGGCCCGGGAGGGCAGTGGAGGATGGCCCAAGTGCTTGGGCCCTGCACCCCATGGGAGACCAGGAGAAGCACCTGGCTCCTGCCTTCGGATCAGCGCGGTGCGCCAGCCGCAGTGCGCTGGCTGCGGCGGCCATTGGAGGGTGAACCAACGGCAAAGGAAGACCTTTCTCTCTGTCTCTCTCTCACTGTCCACTCTGCCTGTCAAAAAAAAAAAAAAAAAAAAAAAAAAGAAATACATGAATTAATCTTAAAAAAAAAATCTAAGTAACTTAAAAAAATTATGGATGCAGGATACCAAAAGTAAACATTTTTGGAGATGTAAATACATTCTTAAAAATCATTGCTCTCAAGAGTGAGTAACTCATAATGAGTAGATAAATGTAGTTACTGCAATGATAATGTCAAACCAATTGACAGGTCCAAATCCAGAAAGTGACTAAGGCAAAGATAGTCTGTACAATTGCCCATATACCTGATAAATGCAAGTACAAGCAGATTTTCTCTCCTAGGACAAGGAACTCATTTATTTATATTCTTTACTGGGGGCTCTAGAAAAATTCACCATGGTTGGTATAATGCCATACTGTACTGAAGAACCGGACTTAACACAATAACGGCCCTAACATCATTTAGACCCATATAAAGCCAAGACCAAACACTGGCTTGAATGTCAAGTACACAGATGAGCAGAAAAATAAAACACTTAGGAGGCAGAACATTATGATTTAGTAAGCATACAATAATAAAAAAAAGAAGGCCGGAACTGCAAAACATACTGATTATGAAACCGTGTCAGGACAACAGACACACGAAGGCCTTTAGGGGGCAGGAGAAGCTCATAAATAAGCAACTGTCCTGGGCTGCCACGCCACATGCTGCACTACCTTCAGCAGACAGGAACAGAGTAAACAAGACATCGAAAGAAAACATGCTTTTTGTTTGTATGCACAATCGAATGCTTTAATTATGGGATAAAATCATGTAAAATTCCAAGTTACAATCAGTACCAATAAAAGCAACAAGAAATTTATACACATTTTTGTCCTATAAGCTAGTCATCAGTTTTCTTTTGTCTTTCTTTTTTAAACCTCAAGTCTGTTTCAAACATTTTGATGTAAAATTTATGTTATTCAGTTCAGATATAAGAAGAATGTCATGGAAAACAAAGGGGTTTAGTGGAAGCCAAGATCAAAAATCAGCAGAAACAGCAGTAGATAAATATTAAGCTTAAGTTAGTTCTTTCACAAAACTCCTGCACGACAGTTATATTACCACTGGAAAAATCCTCCTACCTGAACTTAAACTGACTGCAAAATGTGAATGAAGAAAAATATTCTAGAATATCATTTTTTATAGTCTGTAAAGAAATGACTCATAAAAATAAGATTGAGTTAGAAAACAAGAGTGAAGAAATCCTAGTAATCACAATTGAACATTTATATCTATCTATTAATAAGCTCTCAGAAATGACTGGTTCACAAAGACATTACACACTTGAAGTAAAGGGATTAATACTTAAAACCAGCACACCCATTCAAAAATATACCCTTATACATGAAGCTAAATAGGGTTAATAATACATACATAAATAAGTATATTATGCAAAGGCTTTTATCTCTACTAAGAAAAGATGTTTATATTCTAGGAAAATTTTTATTTTTAATTTTCAGTAACAGGAAATAAAGGCATCTTATCTTACAGATTTTAAATGTAAAATGCTATATCTCAGGGGGATTCATCAAAAAACTGGATAATTTATCAAAACCCATTTAGCATAAATGCACTCACCCCCATGCTGTAGTAGCAGCTTGCCAATTTCTACATGTCCGTTTGACAGTGCATCATGCAAAGGAGTCACCCCGTCCACTTGAGTGAGCAGATCTACCTCTGGACAACGTTGCAAAATTTCCTGGACACACACTGTGTTGCCATAGTTACAGGCTTCATGCAAAGGCGTCCAGCCAGCATTGTCTAAATTAGAAATCAAGGCAAGTTTTAAAACAGCAGAAGTAGGACTTCTGGTAGTAAAGTACTGATGTTCTATTTCTCTTATCAGCCTGACTTCCTAAGTATTCCATATTAAAAAAAAAAAAACTTTGATAAAAATGCCTAGTGTGTAATCCATATTTCTACCTTTAAGAAAAATTACATAGACAATTTTTAAATATTAATATTTGGATATGATAAAAATATGGACACAAAAAATGGTTCTGTATCATTAGCTATAAATAATATGAATGATTCATTTCTTGATTTTGCTAATGTCAATATTTTAAAGATTTCTTAGGAAAATTAACTCAAACTATTTCTCTTAATGTGACATAAAACTATTTAATATCACAAATTTTAAGACAGTGGATTACATCATGAAGATTTAGAACTTACCTTTAACATTGATGTCTATTCCTGGCAAAGAGAGAAGAAGAATCAATTTCTCCACTTGGTTATTTATGCAAGCTCTATGCAGGGCTGTTTCTCCTGCCATAAAAAATTAATAGATTATTCCAGAGAAGACAAGATATCAACTAAAGAAAATAATCAAAGGGCATGAACTAAGAGATCTGGCCCCATGCCAGAAAATTATTTATTGAGTTTTCCTTTTGACTAGTTTAAACATTTCTTGCATTAAAAAAAGAAGGGTAGTGGTGGAAGGGAACCCCGCCACTCCACAGGGCTTCTGTTTTATCAGCAATTCAGTAGTGAAATTCTACGGCAAAAGGTTTAATACAGGCATTGTCTCCCCCTAGTTCAAGGTTTAAAGCTTCAATACTGCTATAAAACCCCCAAATGATCACAGCACACCAAAAATACTGGGTTTTGAGCAATAAAAGTTTAGAGTGCAATTGCCCTCTCTTAAATTTATTCATGAACCTACGTTAAATGTATGGCTCTTTTTTATACTGCATTTATAGCTTAATTCAAATGAATGTTTCTGGCTAAGCACGAGTGCCTCTACACACTCAAGGATAATTCAGAACTTCAAATCCATTAACAGATGGTTTGCTGCTTCTCAATAGGCTGTCTGGCTTGGCTACAGCAGCTCAGAGAGGGAGAAATGGAGGAATCTTAATATAAACACACCACACACACACACACACACACACACTCCCCCCACCCCCCATCTCTCTCTCTCTATGAAAAAAAAAAATCACCCGTACCATTTAAAGCTGAACAAAAGTTACAAATAAAATGGTAAGGTTTTTGCCAGGAGAGATGCAATTAGTACCTACTGGCTAGAATTATCTATGTCCATCTCTGTTATACCCAAATTAATAAGATGAGTGACAGTTTGATGTAAAGGGAATTTAAAAAAAAATCTGATTGCTTAAAAACCAAGATGAAATAGTGAATCAATTTTTTTCTCGCTAGAAAATACTAAGTAGCACATTTTTACAGATAATCTCTGTACCTTCTACCAAAACATTTCTTTTACATGCATAGCAAAGCTTTTGAAGTTTTTCTCTATTTCTCAGTTCTCTTCCTCTCTCAGTTCCTTCTGCTGTTCAGTCTAAAGTCATTCATATTCATTTTATTTTGTGCAACAATAAAACAAAGAAAAAGGACACTGATTTGTGAAGTTAATATCTGAATTCTCATCTAATACATTTTTCATATTTTGAGCCAAATAGACAGTTATTTTGATTTTGTGCACACTTATGAACTTGTATCACGTTGAAAGGTAAGAGCTTCACCATCGCTATTTTCCATGGGATTACATGATGTTAATATTTGTATTAGAAGCATGATATAGCTCATAAACAAGAGAGACTCAGCATTTTATTTTGGCCAGGTATAGCCTCTTGGAGGATAATTTATATTTTCAAGTTAAGAGGTGGCAAAGTAAAAGAGGTGCCAGAGTGAATTATTACAACAGTATTCTTGTTATTCCATCGTTTAGGTGCTCGGGTTCCAGTATAGTTAGAACCAAAAGCCAAACACATTTCATAGTCTGGGCTCAATGCCTGGAAGAAAAGAGCCCATATGCCTAACACAGCTATGTAACATAGCCTACTCTTCATTCTTTGTTCACAGAATGTCTAGGACTGAACGAGATGAAGACAGAATTATACTTTCAAATCAGAAGACACTGACTGGAAGCAGCACAGGTTGAGGTGGAATAGAAAAGTAAGGCGGGCAAGTCTGGAACGAGCTCTATGAGTGCTATACAGTGTTTAGTATTTGGAAAGGCAGGGACAGAAAAGAAAGGGAGGAATACTCCAATTTACCAGATATTAAACGATCACATTCTTTGTATAAATGACAATTCAAGAAAATAATATGCTATCCAGGAAGGTATGTCCTGGACCAAGTCCAATATTTAAGTTCAACTGTTCGTCAGGGCAAGTGTATGACATTTGCAAGTACTGACTACAACCATGAAAAGTTCTTAGCATAAATTAATTTAGAGACTTGGAATACCTTTTAGATTAGTCTTGTGAAAATTCATCTTTGTAACTAAAGAGGGGCAATTCTCCTTGGAACATGACAGTTCTCCTTCTGACTTCTTTTTCATTTTTTTTAATGATGAGGAACATTTAGCAAGGTTTCGCTCTCTGAAAGTAAAGAAAGAAATAAGGAAAGCTTGTTTTCCAGCAAGGTAGACCAGCATACATTAGATGGCATTTTTTTTTAAATCTCCTGTTTCATTTAAATGCTTTTACTCAGTCTTATTTGATATTATTAAATTATTACGTATAATAAATAATTAAAAATATATTTTAAAATCTGTCAATTGTATAGAAACAAAGTTTAAGGTATGAATTTCATTTTATCAGACTTACACAGCCAACCGCCCTGTGAAAAGTTCATAAATATAGAATGTGGGGTAAACAGATAAGAGTCCAAGTAAGCCATATTCAGCAGAGAAAACAAAGCAGAAAACTAAGATCAGAAAGCAGGCCTCTGTGCCCCATTCCTGTCTTCATGTTCTGAACTTATTTTTTTCTTCCTTTCATAGGACATTCGAGCTTTCTACATAGCACACTTTAAGAGGAGGATTCTCATTTGGGTGAAATTATTCTAACAATTTACCATGTATTCTGAAATCTCATAGACATTATTGAAAAGTAGTAATTCAAATAATAGAGCAAAATATTATGTAATACAGTAACTAAATGAACAGTTTTACTTCTTTTGGGAAACATTGACTCTTTTTAGAAAATCAGCATGCACCTTGAATTACAGTAGTAAAAAATGTTAATTATGTATATTTTGGGTCTAAAACTGAATTTTCTTCTAATCAGTATACTCCAGACAGTACCACAGGTAAACATAAAGTTGAAGAAACGTGTCAGGAAAAAAACTATACTCCAAAACCTAGCACAAGTGGAACGTCAGCATCACTTACGGTAACTCTGGAAGCCCTTCGATTTGCTTCTGTTTAGCACCATTCAACATAAGCAGGGCTCTCTGAGACTCAAGGCAAGGCCGCTGTCCTGTTTTCTTTGGTATCTGCATCTTTCCAGTTCCATGCACAACACCAGTTTTTCCCAAAGCTGGCAAATAGGAATATACCTGTTGCAAAATAATATTATATTGCCTTCTCAACTACAAAGAAATCAGTAAAAAGAAAGTGCTTGATTCATTTCACTATTAAATTTGGTTATAGTTTCTCAGTTTCATCCCATAGTTGGTATTCTAACTTGTTTGAATGTGGTAAAATATTAAGGAAGCAGCTAGTTCCATGTTACTGAATCTATACCATGTGGACAAAAAGAAAAATATCTTCCTGCAAATATTTTTTTTTAGTTCAATGCTGATGCTCATTTAAGAAAGTTCTTTTGATTAGTCTTAGTCCCACTATGATTCATTTTGCATATTTTTTATATTTATAATTTATGTACAACTGGTATTTTGTCATTTCCATTTTGATATTGCCTTTCTTCAGAACATAAATCTAGAATGAACAAAATAAGTAATGAAAACATCCTTAAAAGCAAAGGATACTGCAAAACAGAATTTGCCTAATCTGACCAATAAACAAACATATTTCTCATCTGCTGCAGAAACTGCTGGAGATATCAGATACTAATAATAAGACAGCCAAGATAAGAGTGGAAAGCCTTAGAACTGTACCTCACGTCTGTCTATGTATAAGACATACATATAAGACAGCACTGTTTGCAAATTTTGCTTTATAAATACCATTAAATTCCATGTAGAACTTCTTTTTTTATTTAGTTCTTTCTAAAATAATCATGTGTACTGTGTGGCAAATGATTAGGAAACAAAGATTCTTACATGATTTTGCTGTTTCCAACCCTGAATTACTTTTCTTTTTTAAAGGTTGTTTATTTTTAAAGGTTGTTATTTGCGAGGCAGAGTTACAAACAGAAAGAGGGAGAGACATAGAGAGATCTTCCATTTGCTGGTTCACTCCCCAAATGGCCAGAACGGACGGAGCTGAGCCTGTTCAAAGCCAGGAGCTAGAAGCTTCTTCCAGATCTCCCACGTGGGTGCAGAGGCCCAAGCACTCATGTCAGCTTCACTGCTTTCCCAGGCCATAAGCAGAGAGTTGGATTGGAAGAGAAATAGCCAGGACACGAACTGGTGCCCATATGGGATGCTGGCACTGCAGGAGGAGGCTCAGCCTACCATACCACAGCGTCAGGCCCCCTGAATTATTCTTAAAAGTAACTGAAGTTTCTATTCACTAATTATTTTTGAGGTAGAAAATGAATTAATATGCTTTGTCCACTCTTTAGAAATCACTGAAGATATTTTATAATTGAATGTATGATCTCAGTTCTTAGACATTAAAAGGCATTGAATGATAGTGCTTACCATTTTCTGGAGAGAGAGGGGTTCAGAGGAAACACTGATGGAACTCTGCAAACACAGCTTCTTAAACACTGCCTCTGCAACAAACATCTGAAGCCAGGAGGAGGAAAAGGAGCATATGAAAATTTCTAATTCTTGTGAAGAAAAGTCTGCCGAAAACAAGAGAAGTAAACAGTTACTGCTAAAGCCTGTAAAATATTTTTCAATAGGATACTTTCTAAGCAGATTTCATTCTGTCAACTTAAGGTTCCTACACCAGTAAGATTCACCCATAATACAGCTAATATATTCTGGTTATTTGTTTTTCAGGAGCAAACTTTTTATGGTACATGTCCTCATGTTTGAAAAAAATCATTATATTATTTCAAATAAAAGTCTTTAAATTATATATATAAAAATAGATAATAAATGAATATATAGATACACATTCTGCTTTCCAATTAACATTAGAGAACTCATCCCACAATAAAATTGCTCTTTTGGAAAACCAGTGCTTAAGGTTTTAAATGAGCACACAAGGATGTAATCTACAATGATGAATCTTGAGCTGATGGGTAAGAAATCAGACCAGCTTCCCTGACAACAGTCATGGATCCTGTTCCTGGAGAGGCAGCAGAAAAGCACAAGGTAAAGAAAATGTAAAGCAAGAGAGTGTATAAGGATTTCCTTACAAGTCTGCATTCCCTCTACTATGGAGGTTGGGAGACAATTGTAAATGGTTAAACAAGCAAGGACAATAAAAACATCAAGAATCTCGTATCTCTTCTATTCAAAACCTCAAGTGCTCCAACATGATGAGAATGTATATTTATACACATGAACTGAAAGTGATAAAGTACTGTTTATTTTCCATGTCATCTATTTAATGCTATGAATTCTATAATATTCTCTGTGTAAGAATGCATAACACAGTGGAATGACAAAGAATAGGACCAATCAAACAATATGGAAAGAGCCAGACCTAAGGAAAACAAGCAATATAATAAAGCTGTGATATCACATGATAAGGCAGATTAACTATACACATCAGAATAAAGAAAAAGTCAACACTTACAAAATAAACTTAACAGCAGAGGAGTTAAAATTATTAGCATTAAATTAAATTGACACTTCTAAAACTGTACAAAACAAATTTCATAGCAATGCAATGTTTAATACTCGACCTCTTTGCTGAGGGATGGCATTCCTGTAGGCCAGGGAGACTGCAGACCCCCAGTAAATGTCACCCTCAGCCACCTTCACAAAAGGCTGGCTCCTACTGTCCTCTCAAGTCCTTGACCCTGGACTCAGTGATTTTCAATGGGAGGTGGTGAGGAAAACTGGCGGGTAGGGAAGGGGTGTGTTTGCCCCCAGTGTACAACTGGTGATTTCTGGTCATCACAATTGGAGAAGGGGTACTACCAGCATCTAGTGGGCAAAGGCCAGGGACACTCTAAACATGCTATAATGCACAGGACAGCTTCCAACAACAAATAATTACCCAGCCCAAAACGTAATGAACACCACCTTGACTAAAGAGACCTAAGATTACTGCCTTGTGTGTGGCATACTACCTCTGGGCAAACAGCTCTGGGCAAAAGTTAACACCTACTTCCAAGCAGACAAAGGATTGATAAATTCAGATAATCCCTTCCAAAATGCTCTTGACAGAGATATAGTTTTCAGGAGTTGGACTTGATAAAGGAGTTATTTATAGTCCTTTCTTTTCATACCACCAAGGCTCCGACAGTATTATCTGAAGCAGTGCATGAAGTAAACTGAAGGATAAATAACATAGTTCTAATATTTGATTTTAGTTACATTCATAAATAGCCTACCATCACAGAGTTAATTTGTAATTAAGAGGCAAAAGTAAAGCAGAAATAACTTGTACTCTAAAGTTCAAAAGAGATGATCTTGGGGCCAGAGCTGTGGTGCAGCATCCTATATGGGCATCCTATATGGGCATCGGTTTGACTCTTGGCTGCTCTACCTCAGATACAGCTCCCTGGTGATGCACCTGGGAAAACAGTGGAAGACGGCCAAGTGTTTGGGCCCCTGCAGCCACCTGGGAGATCTGTAAGAAACTCCTGACTCTTGGGCTTCCACTGCAGCCACTTAGGGGGTGAAGCAGCAGATGGAAGATATCTGTCTCTCCCTTTCTCACATTGGATGATCTCACATTGGAACTTCTAAATGAGTTGCATATCTAGACTACAGTCTTTAAGGGAGGGGTCATTTTCATAGCTCTCACAGCAAGGTCATCCTCCTGTACACAATTAACATATAGCATCTGACAGATGAATAAACAAGTGATCGGCATATAACAGAAACTCAAAGAAAGGGGACAATCCTTTTTAAAAAGTTAACCAGAGCCTGTTGAGATAGCTTCTAATTTCCCAACCTGGTTTCCAAGGTCCAACACAAACTCCCTCACCCCACCCCTTTTTGGGCCTCATTCTGGCCCTCTTCACATTGGTGCTTACTATCAGCCAGGTAGCAGGAGGTCTCAAGTGGGTTCAGCTTGCTCTGACCTCAGTTTTGGTAAATGTTCTCTTCTGACTGGAACACTCTTCTCTGACAGCCAAACTTCTACTTATCCCTCTAATTTTGTGTCCCTGATCACCCAATGTAACACAAGTTCACCAATCTCAATAGTCAGGTTGCCTTAACTGAACAACTTCTCATTTTAAAATGATGTATTTACATTAACTTAATTGTAGTCTGTCTCTCCCACTGACAGCTCCAAAAAAGGAAGGAGTGTGTTTTGTTTCCCTCCTACACTGTACACGAAGTGTTTAGCTCAATGCCTGGTAGAATGACAATAAAAATTTGCTGAATAAATGAAGAGAACAGAAACATTTTGAGACAATGAGCAAAAATATAAAAATTCCTATCTATGAAAAAGGTCTGAAGCATGGAAATGACTAAATAGAGATGAGAAAGCAAAAGTGCAAAGGTTGGCAAAAGTCTGAGAAAAAATGTAGTGATACAATCTAAGAAGGGCAAAGGAAGTTTTACTAAAGTTCTTAAAATATGTGTTATATAAACTTTGATGACATATTTTCTTTCCCACTGAAACAGAAGAAGAAATGAGTTCAAGTGAAGGACTAGCAATTGATGGCTTCTGGCTTGATTTTACTAATAAAGTTTTACTGGCATACAGCTGTGCTCACTTATTATGAACTGTGTATGGCTGTTTTCTCATGACAATTGCAGAGTTGAGCAGCTGGAACAGAGACCATAGAACTCAACAAGCCAAAAATACTCATGATCTGGTACTTTACATTAAAAAGCATTTGCCGGGGCCAGGTATTGTGGTTAAGCTGCCGGTGCTCACAATGCCTACATCCCATACTGAAGTACAGTTTTGAGTCCTGGCTGCTGCACTTCTAATCCAGTTCTCTGCTAATGTGCCTGATGATGGCCTACTTCAGTGCATTGGTTCTTGCCATCTAAGTGCTAGAACCTGATGGTGTTCCAGGCTTTGGCCTGGGCCAGCCTAGCTGTTGTGGTCATCTGGGGAGTGAACCAGCGGAAGGAAGATCTTTTTATCTCTTCCCTCTGTCATTCTGCCTTTCAAATACAACATATCTTTTTTTTTTAAGGTTTATTGACTCTTAAGTTAAGCCAATAAATCATATATTTTAATTAGGTATATAAAGTAAATTCGAGGTAAATTAAACTTTAAATACAGGAAACTCTTTTTTGTCCAAAGTGTTTAGAAACAAAAGAGAATTGCACGTATTTGGAATCCATGGATATGGAACATGATGGAAAGAAGTATCTACTGCCTTCTCAATAAAACGACCATAAATTTACAACAATTACATCAAACTAAAAATGAATTCAATAGAACTGAATCTAAATAATGATCACAGTATGAATTTTCGTATTAGGAAGAACCAAAGCATCCAATTTACCATAGTGTGAAACATATATAATTATCTTCAACTGGAACTTGTATAAAGTCAAATTATATTAACTTTACTAATGACTTTAGAAAGGCAAATTATACTGATTTGAGGAATAATGAAAATATTCTTTTTTTTTTTTAAAAAAAAGAAGTATCCATTAACAGAAATGAGAAAGAGATAAACAATGATTTTTAAATTTTGTCATCAAAATCTGCACACTTGGATATTTGAAAGTAAAAGTAGGGTATTCTACAAATTCCATAACAGGTAAACATTTTAATTTAGCATATTAGCTATAGAAAAGTTACTGTTTTTTAAAGGATAAGCTGTTCATTTGATTTGTCTCCTGACAGATTAAACGTCAAGCTGGTGGCAGGCATTAGACCTATTAAGCTGCTGGTTAAGACGGAAGTACCTTATGGAAATGCCTGGGTTCTATACCTTCTTGTGGCCCCTGTCTCCAGTTTCCTGCTAAATGCTGACCCTGGGAAGGAGCAGTAATGGCTAAAGTATTTGAGTTCTTTCCATGTGGGAGTGGAAAAAGTGGAAAGTTTCCATCTTTCTACATGGGAGTGAGTCCTCAACTGAGTTCCTGGGCCATGTTGCAGGTATTTGAGGAGTGAAAGATGGGAGCTGCGTCTGTCTCTCTCTGTCCCTCTGCTTTTCAACTAAATTAAAATTAAAACAGAAAACATCAAATTGTACTAACAATAAAATTATTAGTAAGATAGTACCTGAATCATTTTCAGAAATATATTAAAAATTTCCAATTGTCTTCTGTAGCCTACAGAACCAACTGTGTGTGTGTGTTTTACTTGTTTTGAGAAGGCCTTTGCATAAAGGCCTAAACATGTTCTTAAATAGTAGCATAATTTAAGAACCAACTGAATTTTAAATATTAGTGATCAAATAGACAGCAAAGTAACCACTGTGTTGACAGAACTTTCACAGTAACATTAAGGTCAATTTTTAGCTAGAGTCAGTCATGGGCTCAAACTTCTAGGGATTAAGTGTCATGTGAAGACTGGGACTTAAACTATATAACAACTCCCTACTTTAAAGTGAAAGGATATGGTGGACATTTAGACTAGCAGATAAGATGCAGGCATTCCACACGGGAGTGCCCGTTTTCCATATCCACTTCTGGTCATTACTCCATCTTCCTGATAGCGTGGACCCTGGGGAGCAGCAGCGATGGCTCCAAGAGTCCTGGCTTTTGTCCTCAGCCCAGGGCTTGCAGGCATTTGTGGAGTGAAACAGTGGATAGGAGCTGATTTGTGAGCTCTCTCTCTCCTTCCCTCTGCCTTCCACTTTGCCTCTCAAATTAAAAAAATAATTTTTAAGTGAAAGAAATTCAGAATATGAATAAAGGAAACACTGAAGCTGACATATAATTGAACCTTACTGCTACAAGGTCTATTATTTTATGCTTTGGCTAAACTCTAACTTATTTTACTTAAAGGCAACTATACTGAGTCTGGAAAGCCTGTTAATCTTGTCCCAGTTCTCCAAATCAAGGATGTTTCATCATGGAATGAAAACAGGGAGTTCTGTTGGCCAAACTTAGTTTTCATTCTAGCAAATAATGCCAGAATTCTGCTGTTTCTGAAAAGGATAAAAAACATTACCTACTAGGAATGGTGAGAAAGAAACGATAAAAACAGGTTCTGCAGGAAGATTGAATTTGAGCTAAGAAATGTTAAAAAGTCACGCAACAAAAGATAGCTAGTCCACAAAAGGAACAGTAATCACCCTCTCAGCTCAATGAAAAAGAAAGAGAAAAATGAAAGGAGATAAAATGCTTTAGATAAAAATCTTCTTAACTTTAGTAGTATAAAAAGAGACCTCTCTTTGCAGAGGGCATCATCGAATAAATCCTGAACTCAGTTATAACTTGGATTCCTATTCCAGAATCTCTCTTCAAAGTATTAAAGTGATTGACAGCATATTCAAGAACTTTTTCTGTATAGAAAATCAAGATGCACTGAAACATGTGTAACAAAAGAGAACACATATTTGGCAATCTGAAATATAGACAAGCACACTGAAATTATTATTTTTTTAATATTTGAAGGTCACAGAAAGCTCACTTGGTATAAAATATGTTCACTTTAGGAACTGAGGCTTAATGAAACAAAGAAGAAAAAAAGGGAGAAAATGGGAGAAGTCAGACTCTTCCTAAACTGGTTTCAGGATGTACATAGGACCCTTGAACACCTCTCTTAGTTTGGGTGGAACTTCAATTCTGTCATCACAGCACTTCAAATGTAACCCCCCCCTCCTCATTTAGAGTAAACTTCATAAAGCAGATAATAGGAGGAGGAAAAGTGGTAAAATTGTGTCTATAAATTATTTCTATGTGCATCACCCATACTCACTTCTTGTTGGGAGAACTAAGCTCTATGGAAAAACAAAACCACCCTTCTCTATTATGAGAAAAACTGTGAAAGAACACATACATGGGGAAATTGTTTTAATCAATGAGATAATCCAAATCAACCCAAGTGGCTTTACAACATAGACACTTATGAATAAATTTCATTTCTAAATACCATGAAGTGTTCATATAGGATAAGTCCCAAGAACTGTTCATATGGCACAAATAAGATCAGAGAATGATATGACTCTGCTCGACTTGAATGATTACAAGTATTAAAGTACTGAAAATTGTTCCTAAAAAGTGAGATTCTAAAAACCACACATAAAAGAGCAAATTTCTCTCAAATGAAATGGGAAAATATATGTGAGAGAAAGGCTCCTGTAATGTTCAGAGGACAAAAGAGCATGAATGTTTAATGTTTAGAGGACATACAGAGCATGAACTATACTACAGAAAAATGCTAAGTAACACCAGGAAAAACATTCTAAAAACATTAATTTTGGTTATCTGCATGGTAGTATTATGAGTAATTTTTTATCTTCCTTTTTATATTGTCTGTGTGTGTATGTATCCATAATTATTTTAAGGAAAGTGTCACATAAACATATGTTAAATATTACAGATTGTTCAAAGGAAATTCAGATTCAAATCCATAATGGGGCCAAGAAAAATGCAACCTAAACACACTTACCGTCACATGACAAGGAAACATAACTTCCCAAGTCATCAGACATGTGTCGCATCACATTTCTACCCATCTTAAGACCAAGGAAGATCCAATAATCTATTGCAGCTCCAAGAATTCCAGTCAGTAAGTAAGCTAGCTCATGTTTGAAGACCTAACAGAAGATGGGGAAAATGTTACTTACATACATTAAAACAAAGGATTTCAATCAGTATTTATTTTGAATACCTGCTGAGTTAAAATTTATGTATTTATAAATACAGGACACGCTGATGCTAAAAGGTATTTTTAAGAATCCCAGCAGGGGCCTCCGCCTGGGGCGCTGGCATCCCATATGGGCACTGGGTTCTAGTCCCAGTTGCTCCTCTTCCATTCCAGCTCTCTGCTGTGGCCTGGGAGGGCAATGGAGGATGGCCCAGGTGCTTGGGCCCCTGCATCCGCATGGGAGACCAGGAGAAGCACCTGGCTCCTGGCTTCAGATCGGTGCAGTGCCAGCCATGGCGGCCATTTGGGGAGTGAACCAATGGAAGGAAGATCTTTCTGTCTCTCTCTCTCTCTCACTGTCTATAACTACCTGTCAAAAAAAAGAGAAAGAGAATCCTAGAAAACTAGCAACCTTTTCCCCCATTCTCTGCAACCATCCCTCTCTCCTTTTCTAACTCACTCTATATAAAACCACACATCAGTATCTCTCTCTCTCTCTCTCTATATATATATATATCTACACACACACACAACAGGTTGAGTATTCCTTATTTGAAATGACTGAACCAGAAGTGTTTTTGAGTTTTGAATATTTGCATATATGTAACAAGATATCTTGGGTATGGACCTGAGACTAAAGATGAAATTCACTTGTTTCATATTCACCTTATTATGTACATAACCTGTAAAGGTAACTTTATAACATATTTTTAGTGTACTAGCATTTTAACTGTGACCTATCTGGTACTTCAAAAAGTTTTGAAGTTTAGAGTACTTTGGACCCTGGACTTTCATATTAGGGATGCTTACCCTGTAAGGGGAAACAGATAATAAAAAAAATTTTTCTAGGAACTTTTGAAATAAGCTTTGAACAAACTTTTAAAAATAATCTTATTTGATGCTGTCAAATACTGGAGTCAGGCAACAATTCCATAAAAACAATAAGGAAAACTTGGTGTCTATGAATTTCTGTTAAGAGGAATATGTATGACCATAAAAAAGGACTGATCAAGCCACTGTTACCATTATATACACTATGGTTCTCTAAATGACATTTTCCAGAAAAAGGCTTAAGAAACACAATAAATAAAAACTTTAGCGGCCGGCGCCAGCACTCCAGGTTCTAGTCCCGGTTATGGCGCCAGATTCTGTCCCAGTTGCTCCTCTTCCAGTCCAGCTCCCTGCTGTGGCCCGGGAAGGTAGTGGAGGATGGCCCAAGTGCTTGGGCCCTGCACCAGCGTGGGAGACCAGGAGGAAGCGCCTGGCTCCTGGCTTGGATAGGCGCAGTGCGTCAGCCGAAGCACACTGGCTGTAGCGGCCATTTGGGGGGTGAACCAATGGAAGGAAGACCTTTCTCTTTGTCTCTCTAACTCTGCCTGTCAAAAACAAACAAAACAAAACAAAACAAAAAAAACTTTAGCAAACAAGATGTCTATCTGCTATAAAGAAATACACTGGGGACCCACAGTGTGGCACAGTGGGTCAAAGCCCCGCCCTGAAGTGCTGGCCTCCTATATAGGTGACGGTTCTAGTCCCAGCTGCTCCTCTTCCGATCCAGCTCTCTGCTGTGGCTTGGGAAGGCACTGGAAGATGGCCCAAGTCTTTGGGCCCCTTGCACCCAAGTGGGAGACCCGGAAGAAGCTCCTGGCTCCCGATTTCTGATTGGCTCAGCTCCGGCCATTGCGGCCATTTGGGGAGTGATCCAGCGGATGGAAGACCTCTCTGTGTGTCTCTACCTCTCTCTGTAACTCTTTCAAATAAATAAAAATAAACCTTTTTGTTTAAAAGAAATAGATTAAGATAATCCATAAAACTTAGTATCAACTATGAAGATGAAAAGGTATGAAAATAATATTTTAAAAACACCTTTAATTTAAATATAAACACTTTTTCAAAATGACATTAAAGCTAGTTGAAATTCCTATATTCTCAGTATTGCTTACCTAGACATGTTGGATGCATGAAAAAAAATCATTAAATTCAGAAGACATCTGAAAGGTTTTAATAAATGCTATGGTACCCAAATAGATTATAATTGCTGTGTTCTGCCACCACACTATGTCTAAATCAGGAGTAATGACTGAAATCTCTATCACTCTGAACCCTCAGTGACAAATGGATTTGTTTCTCCTGCCCTCAGCAAACAAGTTTCTTACAGGTATATATAGCATTTTCTTAGGACACAATTCCTTACCGTAAGCAGTTATTAGATAAATGATTTCAAATCGGAAGTCTATTTCTGGTCTGTGTGCAAACACAGGCAAATGGTCAGGCAGCACACACATCAGGTTTGCTGAAACAGTGTTTACAGAAGGAAAACCTACAGAACGGGGATCAGTAGCAGGTGTGCAAGTCCTTTTTCATCCTACCACACTGTATTGCATTTTGGCAGGACTGGGTAAGGCTGAGGGGAATTTTAAGCTGAATGATGAACACTTACACTTACAAGAAGCACTGCCCTTCTGATAGGATCAGCAGCCATGAAGGACAGCCTGATGCCGCCAGATCAAAATTTATGATTGGGTGTCAGCACCAACCCTCCAGTGTTTCCGTCTGGCAGCTGTAGCTGTGGGGCATGCGGAACTAGAACAGGAACAGCCAAAGCACCAGCACAGCACTCCCCTTTGTGTGATCTGGAGGGCTGGGGACTTGTGCCAGGCTCCCGAGAACTTTGCAGGAAACCTCTTCCATTTTTTGTAAAGCCAACATATAGATAATAACTTTAAGCAAGTTAAGTTTTACCTTTCACTGCTCAAGTTATGAAAAGAACATAAAACAGGACAGTGAAAATGCATACTTCAATTAGCAAATTGATCATGTCCATATGCATGTCACAGAATGTTTCTTCCAACATAACATATGATTTGAACATCAGTAATGACACCACCCAGGAGGCAAGACAATGGTAAACTGTGATTTCTAGAAGTACTCCCTATCTAAAGGGGGCACAGTCAGTCAAGATCACTTGCGACACCAGGTCCTAAGACTCTGTATAGGGAAGGATGCCAACCCAAGGAATTAAGCCTCAAGCCACAACTGAGAACTTCATTTACTAAAAATAATATTTTTTTTTAAAAAGAAGGCAGCTCCCTGATTCTGACAGCGACGATGACCCTTTCCAGAAACTGACTAACACTACTCCTTCTTTTTTTTTTTTTTTTTTTTCTTTATTTGACAGATAAAGTTGGACAGTGGGAGAGAGAAAGGTCTTCCTTCCATTGGTTCACCGCCCAAATGGCCGCCACGGCAGGCGCTGTGCAGATCCAAAGCCAGGAGCCAGGTGCTTCTTCCTGGTCTCCCATGTGGGTGCAGGAGCCCAAGCACTTGGGCCACCCTCCACTGCCTTCCCTGGCCACAGCAGAGAGCTGGACTGGAAGAGGAGCAACTGGGACTAGAACCCGGTGCCCATATTGGATGCTGGCGTCCCAGGCGGAGGATTAACCAAGTGAGCCATGGCACCGGTCCCTAAAAATAACATTAAAACCAACCAGTTGGGACTTACCATTTTTCCTTACACAACATATATACTTACATCTGAAACCACAACTGAATATTAATGTTGCTTAATGCTAAGTTTACCCTGACATCAACATTATTAAACAGTTAGAGAGTGGTAGGAGTTCTTTCAGGAATTTTGGAAAATGACTGTAGCTTCTTTACCACAGTAAGAAAGATCCTTCTGAATTTGTTTTTATCTGTGAGTCACCAGCTAAACATGCCCATTACTATATACCATAATGGCAAATGTTTTAGACAAAAATACTTTTCCATCAGGTTCTTGGATTCTCTAGACCTTATTTTTAACTTTGGTACTAACCGTCACCATGGGGCCCAGAAACTGTGCTCTGGACTACACTCACTGTCTCTTTACCAAGGTCTAAACAACACTACTATCTATCTGCAGCAGGGTCCAAGTGCTTCAGAAGGTGACTAATAAGAACATGACAAAGAAACCAACAAAGAAAAGCTTTCCTAGAATCCTGAAATGTTTGCTAAAGCTGAAAGGATGGAACACAAATACACTAAGAATTAACAAAGAAATAGAAGATATGATTTGCATATATGACATACATTTACCTTAGAATTCCTTTCTAGTATGTTAAGAAGCTCTATTACCAGACAATCTGTCAATACAATTCTCTATTACCTGCCAGTACATGTAATTTTCATTTTATAAACTTGGCAATCTTCCAAGCATTGACTAATCTGTAATATATATCAAACTAGCATCTTGGCCTTCTGACTGCCAGGTTAAGGATTTCTACAATATCCCACTGCAATACATGACAAACCACTCTGCTGGAAAGATGCAATCATAGTGCACATACTGTGCCTCTTCCTGTTTTAAATACTGGCATTTGAAACAGGAGAAAGTGTGTTGCAGTGCAGACTTGGCCTCTAGTCAAGGCTTCACCCTAACAAGCTGTGACACCTTGAATAAGTTGCTTAAACTCTTGAGCCTCAATTTTCTTATCTTTAAATACAAACTAGCTTCCATTTCTACTTATAATTGTAGGATAATCCTTAAACAGCACTTAAAGATATCTCAAAGAAAAGTGGGACTAACCACACCAAGCTTAAGCCAAATTTGTAACTCCTCCATAACCTTGACACAGCCTACCTCTGCTCTTTGCCAAGGAAGCCCAAAGCTTTCTCAGATTAATGACAATGAAATTCACTGCCATTGTGTCACTCTGTAATACTTGCTGATTGACATTATGACAAAACAATATTAGCATAAACTGAGGACTTCTGTTTAGCTAATGACTTAAATTGAATGCTTCAACTCAGCAAATCAAGAAACAAATGCTTTACAGTACGGAGAATGATGTCTGTGAACATGCATGGAATTCTTGAAACTAGAAACTGCCAAAAAGATTTAATTAAGTACAAGAATGAATTCTAACAAAAAGGTAATACAATAAAAAAGCTGTTTATGTGAATTTAAGCAATTCAAATGTTAAATAAAATATTAATTTGCAAAATTTAAAACCAGCTCTCATATTACAACTGATGCTACAATTTATGCAGATTGCCTCACAAATATGTTGCTTTTATTTATAAATCTTAACAAAAACTTACAAGTTAAATATGTATAAATCTGTTACTATTTACATCAATGCTTTTTGAGTAATTTCTTATCTATCTATGGTACTTCTTTTGATGATTTAGTAAATTGTGAAAATGTCAGTTTTATTGTTGTTCAGTTACAAATGTGCAATTTCATTTATGTAATCAAATGGATGAAAAAGAAATGTTCTATAATGAAGAAATATTTTCTATCTTTAAAGAGTAAATAAAAAGGCAGATGGTAATTTATAAGGATGCTATCAATTTCGTACTCAGCTGGCAAGGAAGTTTAGAGTTCTGTTTTGGCTGAATATTTTCAATTTTTACATATTTGGACAAACATACTTTTATAATCATATATACATGTACTACAAAGTGCCTACTCACCTGGTTATTGTCACATAAAAGGATTATTTAATCACAAAGTCTAGTTACACCTAGGAGTAACCTTCCCTTTTTAATGCCGATTTACAAAAAACAAATTAATGCTCTCAAAAGAATTTTCTTTTCAGAAGTATGCCTTAGACACCCATTAAAAGAATTTTCGAAAAACTAGCAAGGACTACTGTTTCTGATAATGAAGACTTAGGTTAACTCAGACAAATAGTTCTATAGAAGAAAACTAAAAATGCTGGATAAAATAAGTAAAACATCTCCTGAAAAACAGCTAAGTTATGAGTAACTGGTAGGCCAAGATCTAGGAGACAGTAAACACCAGTGAGGCACTCAAAGGGAGCTAACTCTTCCCCTGTACTTTTGCTGATTCCATCCAAAGAGCTGAGATGCAGAATCATGGTTTATGGACCCAAGAGAAAAGGGATTAAAAAAAGGCATAGCCCAAGGGCAAACCCCCATCAGGCTGAGCCTCTAAAGAATGTCACCCTCAGAACAAGAGTGAATGGAAAGCAAAAACGCACATGCATTAGTAGTTCCTGACTTCACTCACTTGGACTGTCCAGGGTTACTCGAGCAGAGATCGATCCTGGATTAGGGTGGTCCTTCCCTACTAGTATACCCCGGCACCCAGCAGAAGTACACAGAGACGCTCACTAGAGGACAGTCACCTGTGCTCCGGTCTCTGCCACAAATTGTTTCTACTAATTTTTTAAATGCAATTTAAACTGCACAGCAAACGATATACAGCTCACAAGAAAAACTAAGACCCAAGAAAATAAATAGAAATAGAATACTAGAAACAGATTCATAAAGACCTCAGACATGAAATAATGGGACCCAGATCAGTAAATAAGCATTGTTGTCATGTTCAAAGACAAAAGAAAACCTTGAAAATTTTGTAGGGAATTATATAAAACATGTGATAATATGGAAATTAAAAAGTCTAGAACTGGAAAAAAATATAAAAATTTAAGAACTGTTATGTGTAACAACATATTAGATTTAACAGAAAAGACAATCAGCGGGGACAGGCGTTTGGCCTAGCAGTTGATACAATGGTTAAGACACCTCTGTCTCAAACTGGAATAAGCCTGGGTTCAATACCTGACTCAGGCTTCAGCTTGCAGCCAATGTAGACGCTTGGAGCCAGCGGCGATGGCTGAAGTGACTGGGCTCCTGTTACCCCTGTGAGAGACCTAAAATGAGTTCTGGATTGGGTTCCAGGCTCTCAGCTTCAGTTTTGCTCAGTTCTGGCCTTCGTGGGCATTTGAGAAGTAAAGCACTGGATGTGAGCTCTCTCTCAGTGTGTCCCTCTCTGCCTTTCCCTCAGTCTCTCAAAATTAAATAATTTTAAAAAATCAGTAAACTAAAATTGGATGAAAAGATCCTATCTGGAATACTACAAGTATGGGGAGGGAATATATATATGTATGTGTACATATGTATGTATGTGTCTAGGTATGGTTGATCAGAGAGTTCAGCCTCTGGGTTAAAAAATAGGATATAAAAGAAGAGGTATAACCAAGTTTAACTGGAATTTAAAAAGTAGAGGACGGAAAATAAATCTAAGAAGTCTTTGAGGAAAAACTGTATAATCAATTACATTATATCATCAGAAAGTCATGAAAAGATAAAATGAATAAACAAGTCAACAAAGTAAATTCAGGAAACTTCATTAAAGCAATTATTAAGCTTCTGTAACAGGCAATATAGAACACTGCGCACAATGGGGAAAATATTCTGGCCCCTAAAACTTATAAGAGGCCAAAAACAAAGTTCAGTAAATTTTAGAAAGCAGAAATCATATGGGGAACATTCTTCAACTATAATGCACTATTAAAAATTACCAAAATAGTACAGCCAAACAAGCAAAATCCACTGGCAATAACAAAACCTATCGCTTTAGAAATTTAAAAATACTTTTAATACATCTCTTAGATCAAAGGCTAAATCTAAATTAACAGAAAACATTTTGGGGGGGGGACCATGAACACCTAAGATTAAAGTATCAAACCTATGAAATGAATATTGTTATACTCTAAATGTACTTCATATAAAAGTACATGTGTTATTAATAAAGACCAAAAAGGAAAAAGATCCAAACATTCAAGACAGAAAAGAATTAGACAGCAGAAATAAATGATATAATGCCAAAAAAGTAGACAATAGAGCCAGAAAGGCAGACCATTTTGAAAGGAGAAAAATGACTAATATTACTTTGCATTTAAAATGTGCTACTGTATGTTGTTATACACATTACATGTGTTGCCGCATTTAATATTCCAAATTATTCTTCTGATACTATACTTACTAAGTCATTACATGATAAATTTCTATTGACAGGCAAATGAAGCAGTATTTAACTCTTGCCATCCAGAAAGGTAGTTTTAAAAGTAAGCAGAATTGGGGCCGGCACTGTGGCATAGTGGGTAAAGCTACCACCTGCAGTGCTGGCATCCCACATGGGCACTGGTTTGAGTCCTGGCTGCTCCACTTCTGATCCAGCTTCCTGCTAACGTGCCTAGGAAAGCAGCAGAAGATGGTCCAAGTTATTGGACCCCTGCACCCACATGAGAGACTGGGAAGAAGCTCCTGCCTTCGGATCGGCCCAGCTCTGGCAGTTGTGGCCATTTGGGAATGTGAACCACCGGATGGAAGATTTCTCTGTCTCTCTCTCTCTCTGTAACTCTGCCTTTCAAACAAACAAATAAATCTTAAAAAAAAAAAAAAGTAAGCAGAACTTACTAGTAAATAGATCTAAAACTGTATGCATTGACTCATTATCTTGTATGATAAATTCTTTATGAATTGAAATGTACAATAAGAGCCGGCGCCGCAGCTCACTAGGCTAATCCTCCGCCTTGCGGCGCCGGCACACCAGGTTCTAGTCCCAGTCGGGGCACCGGATTCTGTCCCGGTTGCCCCTCTTCCAGGCCAGCTCTCTGCTGTGGCCAGGGAGTGCAGTGGAGGATGGCCCAAGTGCTTGGGCCCTGCACCCCATGGGAGACCAGGAGAAGCACCTGGCTCCTGCCATCGGATCAGCGCGGTGCACTGGCTGCAGCGCGCCGGCCGCGGCAGCCATTGGAGGGTGAACCAACGGCAAAGGAAGACCTTTCTCTCTGTCTCTCTCTCTCACTGTCCACTCTGCCTGTCAAAAACAAAACAAAACAAAACAAAACAAAACAAAAAAAAGAAATGTACAATAGTAAAAAAAAAAATCAACACTGCTAAGTAACTATAGATTTCATAGCAGTAGCAACTAAGTAACCGTCCCTGGCTACTGCATTCAAATGTGAGATGACATAGGAATCAACTTCCAAGGATCTTTTACCTTAAAACTACATAAACTACAGAGAAAACAATGGCCTACTTGAGTACATTTAAAATTTTTTCGAGGAATTCAAGGAATAAAAGAATTATTAACAGGTGCATTAATTCAAAGTATAGTCATCCCTCAGTATCCCAGGCAATTTGGTTCCAGGATTCTCCACTGATAACAAAATCCAAGGACGTGCAAGTCCCTTATATAAAATGGCTAAGTATTTTTATAAAACCTACATAATCCTCCCATAAACTCTGAATCATCTCCAGTTTGCTTATAATACCTAATACAGCATAAATGCTACATAAGAAGTTGCTATACTGTATGGTTTAGGGAATAAAGATAAGAAAGTTTGTATATATAGATGAAAATTTTTTTCTGAATATTTTTAATACCCAACTGGTTTAATCTAAGGATGCCTAACACATGGGTAAGGAGAACCAACTGCTCTTTTTGCACAGATCATTATTCATTTGCAAATTAATCTTACTTACATCATTAGATTTGCATTTTTCTTTGTGAGAATATATAGTCCATTCCAAAAGCATATTCACCGGTTTGGTCAAAAGCCCAGAAGTCTCACTTCCTGACCAAAAGATTTCAAGAAGAACTGCCTTTCCTGTTATTTTCAGACTCTGAGAATCTGACCAGTCATACAACCTAATGAAAATACAAAAATATGAATCTTAATGTCCATTTCATGACAAGTGATTAGACACATCTTCTGTCAAAAAGCAAAACAAAAGTTAGCAATTTAAAAAATCTATTTTATTTGAAAGGCAGGGGAGGGGTTTGGGTAAGGGGCAGTGGGGGGGAAGGAGAGACAACAGCTGGAGATGATGGGCCAGGCTAAAATCAGGAGACAGGAACTCAGTCCAGATCTCTCATGCGAGTGGCAAGAACTCCAGTACTTGAGCCACCACCTGCTGCCTCCTACCCAGGGTGTGCATTAGCAGGAAGCTGAAATCAGGAACTCTAATATAGATGTGGGCAACCCAAGTGGTATCTTAACTGTTATGCCAAAATGCCTGCCCCACTAGCAATTTTTGAATATAGAAAGATCGTAATAGGTGCCTATGTTGAGGTGTAGCTGGGTAAGCCATTGCCTGAGATGCCAGCATCCCATATGAGCACCAGTTCAAGTCCTGGCTGTTCCACTTCCAATCAGCTCCTTGTTAAAGCAGCTGGGAAAGCAGCAGAAGATGGCCCAAGTACTTGGACCCCTGCCACCCACATGTGGGACCAGGATGGAGTTTCTGGATCATGACTTCAGCTTAGCCAACCCCTGGATGTGGTGGCCATACTGAACAGTAGATGGAAGATTTCCCTCTTTTTCTCCCTCACCCTCTGCAACTCTGCCTTTCAAATCAGTCAATCAATCTTTTATTAAAGAAAGATAACATATAGACTATAACAATTATAATAAATATAAAAATGGCCTTGTTTACATAAAATTAACATATACACAGTAATCCACCTGCAAGTTTTAGAGTAGGAACAAAACTTATCACAGGTATTAAAGATTCAGGTAGTTGTTCATTTGAGCATTCAATTACTAAAGACTCTTAAAAATATACAAAGATTGGAAAATGAAAACACTAATCCAAATAAACAATTAAAAATAAAAATGTGGGCCAGCGCCATGGCTCACTTGGCTAATCCTCCGCCTGCGGCATTGGTACCCTGGGTTCTAGTTCCGGTTGGGGTGCCAGGTTCTAATCCCGGTAGCTCCTCTTCCAGTCCAGCTCTCTGCTGTGGCCAGGGAGAGCAGCAGAGAATGGCCCAAGTGCTTGGGTCCCTGCACCCACATGGGAGACCAGGGGGAAGCACCCAGATCCTGGCTTTGGATCGGCGCAGCACCGGCTGTAGCGGCCATTGGGGGAGTGAACCAATGGAAGGAAGACATTTCTCTCTGTCTCTCTCTCACTGTCTAAAACTCTCTGTCTCGCTCTCACTGCCTAATTCTGCCTGTCAAAAAAAAAAGTGAAATGAGGAAAAAAATGAACACATATACCTCATTTCCTCTGAAGTATGTATGGAAATATGTTTTTTTTTTAATTTTTTTTGACTGGCAGAGTGGACAGTGAGAGAGAGAGACAAAGAGAAAGGTCTTCCTTTGCCATTGGTTCACCCTCCAATGGCTGCCGCGGCCGGCGCACTGCGGCCGGCGCACCGCGCTGATCCGATGGCAGGAGCCAGGTGCTTCTCCTGGTCTCCCATGGGGTGCAGGGCCCAAGCACTTGGGCCATCCTCCACTGCACTCCCGGGCCACAGCAGAGAGCTGGCCTGGAAGAGGGGCAACTGGGACAGAATCCGGTGCCCCGACCGGGACTAGAACCTGGTGTGCCGGCGCCGCAAGGCAGAGGATTAGCCTAGTGAGCCATGGCGCCGGCCAGGGAAATATGTTTTAAAAATAAATTTCTGGGCCAGTGCTGTGACATAGTGGGTAAAGCCACTGCCTGCAGTGCCAGCATCCCATATGGGCACCGTTTCGAGTCCTGGATGCTTTACTGCTGACCCAGCTCCCTGCTACAGCCTGAGAAAGCAGAAGATGGCTTAAGTCCTTGGGCCCCTGCACCCGTGTGGGAGACCCAGAAGAAGCTCCAGGCTCCTGGCTTCGGATTGGCACAGCTCCACCGATTGCGGTCATTTGAGGAGTGAACCAACAGATGGAAGACCCACCCCCTTCTCCCGGGCTCTGCCTTTCAAATAAATACATATTTAAAAAATTTCTTTTACAATATAAAATGAGGTGACTTTTTAGGAATGTGTAAGTGTTCAATAAAATGGTATATAAAAACTCAGAAATGTAGAAAAATGTGATTCTGTGATTAAAACTTACTTTTGACTCAGATGCCGTACTTCACTTTCAACTAAATTAAAGAAAAATTTGAGTAGTGTCAGGTAGAGTACTTTAGAGTCATTGATATTTTCTGAAATTTGATGACAAAAATTTTCATTGAAAAGGCAAGACCTGAAAAACACAAAGCCAACAATCTAAAAACATACAATTAATTCACTGCGTACTCTGTGTACAAAGTGTTTCTTTTTTTAGAATACTTTTAGAATTCAATGAAATCATCAACAAAATGTCATTCTTAATATATATTTTTTCAATAACTGTAATATTTAATAACCAACAAGTTCTCCTTTGTACTCTTTATTTTACTAAGAACACATAAATTTCGTTGAGTACTTTTGATCCAAATGACCAGCTATGCTTTTAGCTTAAAATATTTGTCACAATCTTTCTCTCTCACCAAGATTCTTTGTTCACTATTTAGTAAACGAAGTTTATTTAGTGCTACTTTTCTTGAGAGTTTTTAAAATTCAGTATTTTATTTCCTTTCTGTCTTTTACAGCAGTCCTATCCAACACAGCACTTTGTGAACACAGGTAAGTTCTGCTGGACACCTGAAATGTGGTCTGTGCACCTGAGGACTTTAACTTTGAATCAGTTAATGTTAATTAAATTCAAACATAAACAGTCATATGTGGCCAGTGGCTACTGGGCTGGACAGAACTCTATAGCGTATTTTTAAAGGGAATATAAATTACTTAGACTTCAAAAGAATCTAGGCAATAATACTTAAAATAGTCTCCCAACTTTCTTATAACTGTATCAGCAGTATGCTTGTAACTTTCTACCTCTGTCTCTACTGTCTTCTTTTTGAATATTGCACTCACAGGTTAGGAGCATTTGTTGAAGCTTTTAAACTTAATAATTTATTATGTGAATGTGTTTTGTAAGATTCCCCATGCCCATATAGTTTTTTTCAGATTTTCTGAAAACTGTTAGAGACATATAATTTTTTTTTTGGAATATTTCAAGGCCATACGACAGTAGAGAGACTAATGTTATTCAGCTCATTACACTCCTATTGCTTCCCTATGCAAACTTTGGCCACTTCTGTTTATTAAAAATTCTACTTGAAGGCTGCCCAGATTCCATTTCCTATAGCACTAAGTAGTTAACCCAAACATTCATTAAGCACCTGTTATGTTCCAGGCATTATATCAGATAACGAGGATGGAGATCTTCCACACTGGTGTGAACAACAAACTTAACTCATAAGAAAGGACAAGAGTTATGAAGTGGCATCTGAGTTGTATTTTAAAGGGTGATAAACAGTTTGCCAGGTACACACACACACTCACACACACCCATATACTTACACCTATATGCATACAGAAAAACAGAATAGGAAAGGGGACAGGAAAGGGGAAGACAGGCAACAGGCACATTTGGTCAAGTGATAAAGATGAGAATGAGACATACACAGGGGTAAATCATGACAAGTTTTAATGTTTTACCAAGGAATATGAACTGTCTTCTGGAGATGATGTGTGAGGCAATGAAGGACTTTACTCTTGGAAATCATTTTGGAAAAAGCATACTAGGGCACTTTAGAAGATAACTTAAAGGGGAAAAAAAGTTGAATTAAGATCAGTAAAGGGGCCAGCGCTGTGGCACAGCGGGTTAAAGCCCTGGCCTGCAGTGCCAGCATCCCATATGGGTGCCAGCTCAAGTCCCGGCTGCTCCACTCTGATCCAGCTCTCTCCTATGGCCTGGTAAAGCAGTAGAGGGTGGACCATGTCCTTGGGCCCCTGCACCCGCGTGGGAGACCTGGAAGAAGTTCCTGGCTCCTGGCTTCGGATCAGTTCAACTCTGGCCATTACAGTTATTTGGGGAGTGAACCAGTGGATGAAAGACCTCTCTCTCTCTCTCTCTCTCTCTCTGGAACTCTCTCAAATAAATAAAATAAATCTTTAAAAGAAAAGTAGGTATTCCAATAGTTTGTATAAGAAGCAATGGGAACTTTTAAATAAAGGCAATGGTTGTGAAGGAGGGGACAGATCTGGAAATTAGGAAGGTTGCTGGCCATAGACACGTATTCCTCACAGCCTTAGTCTGCGGGCTAGTACTGTGTATGTCTCAGTCACCTTCGAAGCACAGGAACTGTTTTTTTTTTTTTTTTTAAATTTAAACTGCTGAAATAGCCTATAGAGCCTTGCTCCCAGTAAGTACTCAAAAAACATTTGCTGAAAGAATACTTTAAAAAACAATTCCGTTTAGCTACTTAGCCGGTAAATGAATCTTTATGATTTCAAACAGCTAACCTGGCCAGTCAAGTTTCCTTTCTTGCACTATCCTGGACTTTCTAAAATTGAACACCTGGATACAAAGAAAGATCTTCCCTGATAAAGGGAAGATTTGTCAGAGTAGAGGAAATGATTAGTTTTGTTAGGAAGGGAAAAAAGGGAAGTAGGAAGGATTTCTAGAGACAGTAATATTTGTAAGAAAAAAGACAATGGAAAGTCTAGACAGATTACAGTGTGTGGAGAGGCATCAAAGTGATATTTAGGCAGCATTAACCTGTGCTTCAGAATACAAACTTCTAAAAGACACTGAATACAGTTATAAATGTTTACATTTTCATGACCAAAATTTGGTAATAATTATACTGAGTAAATCATCTTCATCTTAAAACTATGCAAACTAAAAATTTTGATTAAAATTTTAAAAGTAATTTGGCCTTCCAGTGAGTCAGTTTCATGAGCTCATTGAACCTCAAAAACAATAAACAATGTAGATTTTTCCTTCTTGTGAGTTTTACCATAAACCCACACAAACACAACACATCCATTTTCTAAAAACAGAAGTATACTTCTTTCATCAGTATCCAATAATAAATGGATGGCATAACAACTTAAGACGAAATTTAGTATCCTCACAGGTGAATGCCCTTACCTGATAAGTACTTCTACTAGGGACCAGGCTCCTTTCATACAAGTTGGACATTGAAACAACTCTAAGTAATATCTTGACATGGCTGGGGACTTCCAAGGTGGATGCAGGTGAAGAAGAGCTGACAATATATGAAAGTATCGACCAGAAAATGTATCTATGTTATCCTGTTATTTAAAAATAAACAAATAAAACATCATAGTTTAACGTACTGTTTCACCAGGTAATTCAGTATAAAACTTGAACAATAATCCCAGAATAACACATAAATATATGTTTGGAAAAAGCAGATCAGACGGAAGTAGCATGCTGAGCTAATGCAATACTGCAACTGGCAGAAGTACACTCCAAATATGTTATCTACACGTTTAGGTAATCCTAGCTATTAGGATTCACTTATATAGCATGTCCATTTTCCATTTCATTATTATAGTAAGATTAAGATCTCCCAAATGTCACCTGAACGAAACTAAAGGTAAGAAACTTTCCATATAATATTCTTACTTATCACCAATATTACTGTGACATAGTTCACACCTGTTGTTTTCCCACTGGCACCTTGGTAAAGAACATTTAGAAAGCTACCTCTGAAGAGGTATTCCTATTGACTCAGTTTAGGGAGCAGGTTTATTTGCTATGAATACTACGAAGACAAGGCTAAGGTGCCAAATGGCATTCCAAATTACTTTAATCTGATTTAATGTTTCATACTTTCCTGCCATGGGAAAAATCAGGTAACATGTTCCAAGAGAAAAGTAACGTTGAAACTCTGAGAAAATAATAAACTGAAGCATTCAGAGTATAATCTTGTACACAGTTAAACAGAAAAGAAGTGACAAGTGGAAACTGAATTTGCTAGAAATATCAGGGAAACAAAATTGAAAGGAGAAAATTGACAATAAACACCAAAAATGAAGAGGTTTCCACACATGTCAACATTCATTGAAAAAAAAAAAAAAAAGATTATAAACCCTGAAGGCTCTTCTTACCTGTAGAACGTTCTCTAGAAGAGCATGAAGAAGGCACACAGGAGGAATATAATGTGCTTGCAAAGAGGAAAGCTCTTCAATAGCTTCCTTAAAGAACTGTCCTTCTATGAGGCTTTCGATTAAATTTAATACACCTCTGGGAAATTCAGTATTTTTGACCTAAAAAAGGAAAGATTCCATTACTCAACAAAAGAAGAAGTAAAAATTCTATGATCAAATCTTGAATTACTAAAGAAAGTTAATGGCCTCATCTATAAAATAAAGATAGCTCCTACCCTCACTCTTTGACATGACAAGGTTGTCATTTGGTTCAAAAAGAGTCATGTCTATGAATATATTTTGCAACAAGGCAATACAAAAGTACACATTATTGTCATATAATTTTCTGTTGTCTTAAATAGTAAGGGAAAGTTATTTCTAAAAGAAAATATTTTAAAGAAATTTGCGAACTTGAATCAATAAAGAGGTCAAGACCTCAGTCAGCTAAAACTGAATAGTTTTTTAGATGCAAAACTGAGTATGTACATTAATATGAACCTTAAAAAGTTTCACAAAATATATTCTCCTTCAGTCAAAATATTTGTAACAACATTACATTAGTTGAGACTGAAAAATAACCCCTTTGGATTAGCTGAGAGTCAAAAAAATACCCTAAAAGACTACATGAACTAAAACAATCACTTCTAAAGGAATGAGTAAAGATACAAGATACTTTTGTAACTACTGTATCACAAGTTTAATCTGAAATTGGTAATTGGGAGTTAAGAGATGTGACAAGAGATACATACTTTGCCTCTCATAAGCACCGAATAAATTCTATAATACTTGTGATGAGTTTTTATTACTGTACAGAATGTTAACAGAAAAGTATTTTTCATTTCTAATAAGAGAAACTATTTTTAAAATCTGATAAGAAGCTTTTGTTGTAAACTCTTCCTTGAAATCAAAATAGCTAAAAATAACAAATGAAAAAGCAGCTTTTTTTTTTTACCCACAATACCACCTTACTCCAAATTCCTTACCTCTACATTGTATACTGGTTGTTTATCTATTCTAATGCAGTTGTATCTGACAGCCTACAAAACAGCAACCATATAATTAAATTCTTACAATTTTAGGTCAAAAAATACATTTTACCTTACTAAAGCACAGAACCTTAGCCAAACACACAAAACAGATTCAGGAACACATTAATAGCTATAATCAATCTGTTCAAACTAGTGACTTCCATCATTTTAGGGTAATGACACTTTCATGAATATGAATTTCTCTACTTTCTCCTTCTAAATTAAAATAATTTAAAAGCTCAAGTCACATTCACTTTGAAGATCTGAAGAGGTCCATTGCCCTTTATATTTTAATAATTGGAGATATAAATGGAGAGGACATTTTGTATAAGGATCCACAGGAGAAAAAAGTTATTCATGTTTTCTACCTAAACAGATGTAAAAGCGTTCTCTGTTGCTTTAAAATACTTAGGATTGTATACTTTTTTTTTTTTGGACAGGCAGAGTGGACAGTGAGAGAGAGAGAGAAAGAGAGAAAGGTCTTCCTTTGCTGTTGGTTCACCATCCAATGGCCGCCCTGGCTGGTGCACCGCGCTGATCCGATGGCAGGAGCCAGGTACTTATCCTGGTCTCCCATGGGGTGCAGGGCCCAAGCACTTGGGCCATCCTCCACTGCACTCCCTGGCCACAGCAGAGAGCTGGCCTGGAAGAGGGGCAACCGGGACAGAATCCAGCACCCCGACCGGGACTAGAACCCTCTGTGCTGGTGCCACAAGGCGTAGGATTAGCCTATTGAGCCGCAGCGTCGGCCAGGATTGTATACTTTTAACAGATTACCCTTTAAAAAAAATCTGTAACAAATCAAATAGAGAAAATATCCTGATTATACCCAACTCCAGAAACAAAGACAAAATAAGCAATCTAATGGAAAAATAGAAAAAATAATGTAAACAGGCAACTGGTACAGGAAAGAACTATATAAATGGCAAGTAAAGTTATAAAACACGCTCAAACTTGCTAACAATAGAAGAAATACAAATTAAAACAATGATGAATTTTTGACTCCATTTTGGATACAGAGAGTCAGAAAGAGAGCTGCTCCCACTTTAAGAAGAAAAGGCTTGATAATCCACCAAACTACAATTTTTCTGAAATTTATCAGACAGCAGAGGTGGTAGTGCAACCCGTGTGACTGAAATAAAAGACAAGAGCCTCCAGGACATGGGAAATGAACACTGATTTACCGGAGACAGAATATGGGAAGAAGCAGCCTGCATTAAAGAAGGTAAGAAAATCTCACCTGAAGTCTTTACCACTTGCTAAATGCTATGTGTGGGCCAGGAGCATTCTGTGAGAGTACAGAATCCCTGGGAATCCAAGACACACACAAGGGGAGTTTGTATCCACTGGAGAGATTTTTCTCTACAAACCTCAGTGGGAGCTCATAATAAAGGAATTCTTCCCCTTACGGGCCTAAGAAGGTACTCTTTGGAAAAGGAAGCAAGGCCTGTTATCCGCATCAAACAGAAAAAAACCCTGAAATTTGTGAAGGTAAAGATTGTGGGTTGGGATCATTAAAGTTCCTACTACTGGGGGAGGGACAAGATCACTGAGAAGGCCCCAACTACAAAGTCCAAAGGAGACTCATCTAAATTGGGGGTGAATCACGATCCTAGAGAGACCTTCCAGCCTTCATCCCCCCAATACTGGGCAAATTGGTGACCAGCAAAGTTACTCCAGTCTGTAAATGCAATTTATCTAAAATACTGAGGTACAAATAAACAGACTATTCATCATACTTACAAAATGCCCAAATACATCATTCTACATAACAGATTATGAACTAAGAAAATGATTTTCAGACAGATTACATATATTAACAAATGAATCATATACATGTATGTGCACACATACAAGTGTGTATAACTATTTCAGTTACACTAGAGGACAGTAATTATATAGAACTTTCAGCATGCAGAGTCTTACCTGAGCTCTATATATATGCTTTCTTAAGGCATTTTTTATTTCAATAATATCCACATCTGCCCTGACATCTTTTGCTCTTGACTCTTTGGCATAATCAGCAAAAACAGAATTCTTCATTTCCTTTGCATACATGTAAAAGTACTTTAGATAATGTACTAATGATGCCAATACAAATGACATCAATAACAGACAACATAACACAGGAGGAACACAGTCAAACAATATTAACCATAACAAAGATTCTCAAAATCATGGATCAACCTTATACGATGAAAGTTTAAAATGCAAATGTCAATCTTGAAAGCTTTACCTGATATCTATAGGCATACTTTTTTTCTTGGTATTAGTTAAGTTTTTACTGTTAAATTACATTATGACAATTTGCTTAGAGCAATTTTTGTCTGTATTATCCCCCGTTAAAACACAATTTTCGTTTTTAACCATAAAGAATAACTCTTGGCCGGCGCCGCGGCTCAGTAGGCTAATCTTCCGCCTTGCGGCGCCAGCACACCGGGTTCTAGTCCCGGTTGGGGCGCCAGATTCTGTCCCAGTTGCCCCTCTTCCAGGCCAGCTCTCTGCTGTGGCCAGGGAGTGCAGTGGAGGATGGCCCAAGTGCTTGGGCCCTGCACCCGCATGGGAGACCAGGAGGAAGCACCTGGCTCCTGCCTTCGGATAGGCGTGGTGCGCCAGCTGCAGGGCGCCAGCCGTGGCGGCCATTGGAGGGTGAACCAACAGCAAAAAAGGAAGACCTTTCTCTCTCTCACTGTCTACTCTGCCTGTCAAAAAAAAAAAAAAAAACAAAAAAAAAAAAAAAAAAAGAATAACTCTTGCTTAAAACAGGGTGATCACACAGAAGCTCTTATCAGTTCCCAATAAGAAAAGTCATGGCTCTTTGAAAAAAAGAGAAAAAAAACATATTTGTTCAGAGTTTTCATTTAACGCACCTAGTGATTTAAATGCTTACTGATCCTTACTTACCAAATAAAGACTATAAACATACTTTCTTAAAGTACTTTTCATTATAACTTGTTTCAAATCTTTCTTGAAGCCACCTTTATTTTATTTTTGCTTTGTTACCAAGTTCACATAGACAAAAATTACTTATTTATCGTTTTCCTGAATGTCATTCTGAATTTACATATACAGGTTAAGTCTCTATTACCCAAAATAATTGGTATCAGAAGTGTATTGGACTTTGGAATATTTGCATACATATAAGGAGGTACTGAGGATAGGACTCAAGCCTAAACATAAACTAAGTTTATGTTTAATGTATCCTCCACACATAACCTGAAGGCAATCTGATATATTTAGTGCACCTGCATTTTTGACTGGGACCTGGCACATAAGGTCAAGTGTGGAATTTTCCACTCATGGTGTCACATTGCAACTCAAAAATTTTTCGATTCTAGAGTTATTCAGATTTTAGAGTTTTGGACTGGAGATGTAAATCTATATAAACATGTCAATGACCTAGATTTTGAAATAAAGCTATACTCTGGGAAAATTTTTATCTAAGAATTTCCATTTCAAAAACAAGCTATCTTATTTATAATGGTCTGTATTATACCAAGGAAGAACAATATAAAAAGTAAAATTTACTTGAGAATATAATACTCAAATTATGTACAGATATGGTCTTCCAGACCCTTTTACAGAACCTTACCTTCAGGAAAAACAAAATTCATTTGAGTGTCTTGGTTACTAACCTAAATTTCTTTCTGTATGCATGTAAAAAAAACCACTTTCGAATAAGAGAGGGAAGAGATGTATAATTTGGGACATGCTCAAGCTGACTTGCCCCAAATGGTAGAGTTAGAAACATAACAGGGGATTCCAATTCAATCCCATCAAGGTGGCATGTACCAATGCCATCTCACTATTCCAAGTGATCAATTTCAGTTCACAATTGATCATAATGAAAGGACTAAGAGTCAAAGGGAGCACATAAACAAGTCTAGTACCTGCTAACACTAACCGATAGAATAAATAAAGGGGAGAGTGATCCAACATGGGAAGTGAGATACTCAGCAGACTCATAGAATGGCAGATGTCCTAAATAGCACTCTGGCCTCAGAATAAGCCCTAAAGGCATTCGGAGCTGGCTGAAAAGCCCATGAGAGTATTTCAGGCATGGAAAGCCAAGACACTCTGGCAAAAGATCTCTGTGAGTGAGATCCCAGTGGAAAGAACAGGTCTTCAAAGAAGGAGGTACCTTTCTCTGAAGGGAGGAGAGAACCTCCACTTTGACTATGACCTTGTCTAAACAAGATAAGAGTCGGAGAACTCAGAGGGCTTCCATAGCCTTGGAAACTCATGACTGGAGCAGAGGGAGATTACTGATGCCATAGACAGGAGTGTCAATTGGTAAAGTCAACAACAGGAGTCACTGTGCACTTACTCCTCATGTAGGATCTCTGTCCTTAATGTGCTGTGCATTGAGATTTAATGCTATAACGAGTACTCAAACAATATATTTCACTTTGTGTTTCTATGGGGGTGCAAACTGTTGAAATCTTTACTTAATGCATACTAAACTGATCTGTAAAAAAAAAAAAAAAAAGAAATGATCAATTCCCAACTTGACTCTCACTGGGATTAAACATGACAATAGGTCTGATCTGATTTCATCATCATTTAAAAAAATCATCTATTATCTTTCACTTTATGTTTCTGTGTGGGAGCAAACTGTTGAAATCCTTACTTAATGTATACTAAGCTGATCTTCTGTATATTAAGATAATCTAAAATGAATCTTGATGTGAATGGAAGGGGAGAGGGAGTGGGAAAGGGGAGGGTTGTGGGTGGGAGGGACGGTATGGGGGGGAAGCCATTGTAATCCATAAGTCGTACTTTGGAAATTTATATTCATTAAATAAAAGTTAAAAAACAAAACAAAACAAAACAAAAAAAACCACTTTCAATGTGAACTAAAAGTTAATTCGAACAACATTAACTCTATTATGCCAAACCCAAATGAAGAATTTTTGTAAGTAGGTTCTATTTACATAACAAGTGATCACAAAAATCAGATTCAATACCTAAAATATATTAGAGAAGAGCCCAAAAAATCTGAAATAGCTTAGCTTACAAAGTTTTACCTGATCACTACAATGTATGTGGTTTCTTAAGGTATTTTTAATTTTGTCACGTTCGAGGTCTCTCCTGCAATCATTTTCTTTTTTGCGTTTTTTCCTCAAAGAGTAACTCCGTTGAATATCTCCATCTTTTTTCTTAATTTCCTTCTACATATATTAGATCACAATTAAATCTCAAGATAATGATATGTATTACACATCCAAATAAAATCAAGAAGAATGACTTTACAATATAAGAATACCACACTGAAAAACAAAATTACATACAACAGAGAATCTCATCTACTGTCAGATGAGAGTTAAACTGTCTTGGACAACAGTTCGACATTTCCTAGTATAGGTGTCAATCTTTATTTAATTCCTAGGAATATACCCTCATCTACATACATGACTGAACACATGTACCAAGATAACGTGCCCACTGTTCATTGCCACCAAAACCAACCAAACTCTAAAAACAAAACGAAACTCAAATGTTTATCAGTAATAAAGATGAAACTTATCACATAAACAAATTATAAAATATAATACATTCTAGCAAAAAAAATTTATGACCTACAAAAATATTTATTAGCAGGCAAAACTAAGCAGTATGTTTTTAGGGATACACACAAAGCTATATAATGAAAAGCAGGAATGCAATTAACACAAATTCTAAAATAAAGGCTACTTCTGGTAAGAGGTAAAACAGGGGATTCAGTTGGTAAATGACAAAGCAAAGTTTTAAAAAATTGCTAATGCTGAATTCTTAACCTAACCGGTATATTTTCAAAAGTCTTTTAAAACTGTACATGAAGTTTTTAAACAATACTTTTATACAAATATTTCACAAGAAATTTTATAAATGATGTATTTGGTACATTTAGAAAAGAGCTATAAAATATTATCTTTAATTGTGAAAACTTTACCTGATTTCCATATGTATGCCTTCCTAGGGTATTTCTCATTTTAATAAATTTCAAACCTTTACTGGAGTCTCTGAATTTTTTTTTGTGATGTACAGTCAAAATTGAACTATTATTAACATCATGATTTTCCATTTCTTTCTGCATTTTTGTAAAAATACTTTAGTTAGACCCTGGATTAAATAAAGCTTTAGCACAACCAATTTTGCAGTCACAACAGAAAAATCCACTAAGCAAAGTAGGCTTTATAAAATATACATACAAGATTAAATACAATAAAAGCCCTTAGAATTATAGGTATACTAAGATAAAGAATTTAAATGTTTTAGTTCACAAGGTTTTATAGTACATTTACATATACACTTAACTTTATCAATATGCTTAACTCAAAGTTAAGGGATTTTATAAACAACATTGCACTAATATTTCATTATATTAAGAAATTTAATTAAAAACAAATTTCTATCTGAATTTTATATACATCTTGAGTTATAGAAGGATCCAAATCTCTTCTAAAAGAACTCAAGAGGATGTATATAATTTAACAACTTCCATATCTTCTACAAAATCTTTTTTTCCCATGCTTAGTTCAAACTAAATTTATTTTAATAACTTCATTGATATTTTAATTTCTTGTTGTATTTTACATTTCTTGCTTCTTTACACCGTGGTTTGCTGAGGAACTTTCTGTAGCTCAAAGTCAAAGTCTTTCCAGCTATTTTGTTTCCCATGTTAATCAAAAGAAATTCATGTATTTTTAAAAGTACTGTTCTAGACGAAGTTAAATACTTGAACTTAGATAATGAATTACAAATATACATAGTACACAGGCTAAGACAAATTAAAAGACACATGTTACATTAAACATTCAGAGAAGTTTTAAGTCACTGGCATGTGTCAGGAACATATTATACATTAGGAGCTTGTTTCTATATTCTCATATGAATATACATTATTTCAAGAAGAGTCCCAAAACATAGACAAAGGGCAATTCCTAATATGCCAAAGTCTTTAACAAAGACCAGCTTTCTGATCCCAAAATCCATGTCATTTCCATCACCTACTGCTTCTTAAACAACTGTGCAAGGAAAACTAGAAATGTACATGTTTTTAAGACTATAAAATTTTACCTGGGTCCTACAGACGGTTTGTCTTAAGGCATCTGTCATTTCAAGCAATCCCTTATCTTTCCTAAAATCTTTGGTTTTTTCTTGATTATCACGTTTGGTCCAAATAGAATTGCTTTGGGAATCTTCATCATTCTGAATTTCCTTCTGTATGTATAGAAAAATGGTTTAGAAAGTCTACTAACTGTAGAGGCAGTATTATTTAATTTCTATGGTATTCAATCTTATCTGTAGTTGTAATTCACTATTTGACCTACTAGTAGGTAAAATGCACCTTCCTGAAACACTGGAAAAAAATTTCAAGAAAAAAAAAATTCATTACAGCAAAGGTCCTGAGTAATAAAGTGAGTTCTGTCTATCCGAAGAAAAGCTAATGCTTGGACAGTCTAGTAACAATAATCCCTTTCTATGAAAAATCAGTAACCAAAATATTTTGTTTAGTTCTTGTCCAAGTTAAAGTTACAGTCTGTATAAAAAATTGTCAGATTATGGACAGATTGTTTCCCAGATTATTTTTCAGTTTTTCACTAAGACTTCTCCCTTGCAAATACACCACAGAGAGAAAAAGAAGGCTAAGTAACAGCTGAATTCACAGCCCCTATTTTACTTAAACAGCAATAAACAATTATCTTCACCTAACTTCATCTCAAATTTCTCTTGTCAAGAAATTCAAATTCCTAAACTACCTATAAATAATTACTTTAAAATACATATGTACCTAAACTTAAAATTCCAGCAGTTTAGTAAGATACAGAGCTGAGCATACAGGTAAGATCATGACAACTCCTCATAGGTATTTTTAACAGCATTCAGAGATTCACTAACTTTATCCAAAGAGAATGTAGAATCATTGTAATTAAGATCAAAGCTGAAATGTGCTAAAGTCTACAGTGTGATCTTTGGTTCTCTTTCACTTATACTGGGCTTTCTATGTTGACATGAGGCCCTTGAGCAGGCTGCAATCCCGCAACTACACAACAACCACTAGACACAGTTGACTGAATTCCTTCTTCAGCAACTCAGAAAAGTGAAATTGACGCATAAGAAAAATAAACATGTTTTTTCTTCCTATTGGGCATCAAAGAAAAAAATTACTCTGAAAATACAAACAATTTTCATTAAGGACAACTTGCAGTGGAAAAAAAACTGAGTTTCTGACTTTAAGTTTCACAGGTAGACATGGAGAATACGTCCCTGATCATCAAGTGATGTCCAAAATACAGGATAAATTCACAGAATGCCAAGTAACATATTATCATTAGCACTATTAGGTAAGACATCCTGTGTTCTAATCTCAAATATATTCACTTTAGGTAACCATTTCAGTCACCATACAGTATATATTGATCTATAAGGATGGACACACATACTGTATTTAAAAATCTGATACATAGGCCGGCACTGAGGCTTACTAGGCTAATCCTCTGCCTGCGGCGCTGGCACCCCAGGTTCTAGTCCTGGTTCAGGGGCCGGGTACTAGTCCCGGTTACTCCTCTTCCAGTCCAGCTCTCTGCTGTGGCCTGGGAGGGCAGCAGACGATGGCCCAAGTACTTGGGAGGAAGCACCCGGCTCCTGGCTTCAGGTAGGCGCAGCTCCGGCCGTGGCGGCCATTAGGGAAGTGCACCAACGGAAGGAAGACCTTTCTGTGTCTCTCTCACTGTCTATAATTTTACCTGTCAAAAAAAAAATCTGATACATAAATTATGGCATCTTGAAGTTTTTAAACAAAATATTCTCATTTTTATACAGGTAAACAAGTTATCAGTAAGTATCTGTCTCAAAATAACACACCAAAAGGCTACTTTTATGAAATACAGTTATTATTTATCTATAAATATTAATTTTTTATTCCTTATATTTTATTCCTTATTTTGGGGTAAGTAGTAGGAATTGTGTTAGGCAACTGTCTCCATTTGTGACACATTAAATAAAGGCCAAACCAATGGATAGAATTATATACCAAAGGATGACTAAAAGCTTATTTACTTAGTAACTTCTGTTAACTGTAGGTACAGAGATGATTATTTGTGGCGATGAGAGCTGATCTGGCTTCTGTTGCAGATGTCTGACTTAGTTTCCTTTCTAGGACTACGTATAGACATGTTCTGGTCTCCCAGTCCTAATCAGATTTTCAGCTGAGGCATTTCACACACTCCTTGAATAAATTCATGAGACAGGATTATGGGACTCACAAGAAAATGGAAAGTCACAGAAATCAAGTGAAGAGCGAGAGTTTTCTGAGTCCTCTTTGGTCTTTAATGTTCACTTATACTTTTGATTCTTTTTTTTATACTTTTGATTTTTATTTATCAACATTCTATGATTAATACTAGTTTATGGTTTTGCTTATATCATTAAGCCTATTTTTAGCTATTGAAAGAGAATGGGTTATTGAATAACAGGAAAAACCAATAATATCAAAATGAGGACAGGGAAAGGGAGACTTGAGGGAAAAATAGTGAAATTATTGAGTATTTGGCATAGTAGGCTAATCCTCTACCTGAGCACTGGCATCCCACATGGGTGCTGGTTCATGTTCTGGCTGCTTCTCCTCTGATCCACCTCTCTGCTATGGGAAAGCATGGAAGATGGCCCAAGTGCTTGGGTCCCTGCTTCCATGTGGGAGGCCCGGAAGAAGCTCCTGGCTCCTGGCTTTGGATCCGCTTAGCTAATGACCATTGTGGCCACTTGGGGAGTGAACAAGCAGGTGGAAGACCTCCTTCTCCGTCTGTCTCCGTAACTCTGCCTTTCAAATAAATAAATAAATCTTTAAAAAAAAAAAGAAGAAAAGAAAAAGAAGCTAAGGACTACTAGCCATCAGGCAAATGCAAATGAAAACCACAATGAGGTTTCACCTCATTCCAGTAAGAATGGCTCTCATACAGAAAACAAAGAACAACAAATGCTGGAGAGAATGTGGAGAAAATTGTTCCATAATCTACTGTCGGTAGGGATGAAAATAGTACAGCCATTGTGGAAGACAATATGGAGATACCTCAGAAAGCTGAAAATAGCTCTCCCATACAACCAGCCATCCCATTCCTGGGAATTTACCCAAATGAAATGAAATCATGAAAGAGTGATCTGTACCCCCATGTTTATTGCAGTTCGAGTCACAATAATTACGAAATGGAAGCAACCCAGATGCTGATCAACTGAGACTGGATAAATAAAATGTGGTATACATACACTATGGAATATTACTCAGGTATAAGAATGAAATCCTGTCTTTCTTAAATGGATGTAACTGGAAACCATTATACTCAATGAAAAAAGCCAGTCCCCAAAAGACAAATACCACATGTTTTCCCTGATCTGTGGTAACTAATAGAGTACAAAACATGTAATATATATTAGTGAAACTGACATTTTGAGAATTGACTGTTTATAGCCCCTGTCTCCGCTGTTGTGGAACAGTGTTTTTTCTTTTTCCTTTCTTTTTGTTGAGTTCTTTACTTAGTGGAGGCTTAATCTTATGATTATAAAATAAACTAAAAGTATGTCATCGTAAAAATTCAAAGACAGGAGGGGCCGGTGCTGTGGCATAGAAAATAAAGCCTTTGCCTGCAGTGCTGGCATTGCACATGGGCGCCAGGTCGAGTCTCAGCTGCTCTACTTCTGATCCAGCTCTCTGCTATGGCCTGAGAAAGCAGCAGATGATAAACTCAAGACCTTGGAACCCTGCACCCGTGTGGGAGACCAAGAAGAAGCTCCTAACTCCTGGCTTCAGATCGGCTCAGCTGTGGCTGATGCAGCCATTTGGGGAATGAACCAGCTGATGGAAGACTTTTCTCTCTCTCTCTGCCTCTGTGCAACTTGGAATTTCAAGTAAATAATAAATAAATCTTTAAACAAAAAAATAGGAGGAGGGAGGGCGGGAAGTATCACTATGCTCCTAAGTCTGTATATATGAAATTTATCATCTTATATAATTAAAAAATTATTAAAAAAAGACAAAAATATATTAGTTAAGAGTAGTTTTAATAATTCTCACAATAAGCAAAGCAGTGTTAAGTGTCAGTATGTATAAAGAGAAACTAAGGCTCAGGATAAATGACTTCCCCATGATCAAGGAACTAGTAAATCATACGCCTGGGTCACAAGTTAATTTATCTGTCTCTAAAAGTCTGTATTTTTTTTTTTTTCAGTTACTCCTAGTACCTTCCCAGAAGATTTGTGATTCATTTTATTTTCTCTCTTAATGTAGAGTCAAAAGAAGTTTAAGTAGCCCTAAGTATCCCTTCCCTTTTTGTTAAGGAATCCTGCACTTGACACATAATTTAACCAATGCAGAATCCACACTGAAGTGAAATTAACAGTTTCTACATTCTTTCACCATCACTAAAAAGTAAGCAGTTTGAGGTCTGACATGTGGTCTTACACATTTTCACGTCCCTAGGACGGTAAGTAGTACACCAAATCTTCAATAAACCTGAACCAAATAGATTCCTCAGAAGCTTTCCAAAAAGTATAAGTAGGTTAAACAAAACTTTTAAAAAGCAAATTTTCACTATTACTGTTAACCAGTCATTCTGCATGACATTTTTTCTTAGACTCTAATTCAGAATCTATTTAATGATGACTGTAATAAGTTCTCTGAAGTGGTAGAAGAAAAATAAGATACTGAAATGACGTTAACTTTCTAATTTCTTCTCAGAAGCGATCAGCAAATGCCTTCCATATCTAGATTGGTTATGAACTCCCAGCTGTCTGATCAAGAACTTCTAGAACAGTGTATATCTAGATTATCTGCTACTTCTGGCTGAGAAGCCATTGTTGCCCTCACTACTGCACCAGATGAATTTGGATACTGTCACATTACTGCAAAATAAGGCCAAGGTTATTGCCTATAATACAGTGTTTTAACCATTTCTTTCCAAAGAAAAGTGAAAATTCAGGCACCTTTACTAATCTAGCCAAGAATGGCTTTCATTCTATTGACAACACAAAATAAATGATTCAAAGAGGTCTGCCAGCTAGACGTTTTCAGTTTCAAATTTACAAAACCAACTCAGACTAACTTACCACAGCAATCTCATTGTGGTTCAATGCCAGATCAGGCTTCAGTGCTGGTTAATTTAGCAACTTCAGTGGTGGTAAGGGTCCAGATTCCATCTCTACACTCTGCTATCATAGGGCTGGCTTCATTCTAAGGCTACTTCTCCCCACGGCCAAGTTTGCTTGTGGTAATTCAGGTTATACTCTTCCTTGTTCACACCATCAGTGACTTTCTTTTCAGAGTGAGTAAGAAACTTCCTAGAAGTTCTTAGCTACCTATTTATGTTCCATTGGTCAGAACCAGTTCACTTGCTTCTTTCCAGACCAATCATTCTCAAGGACAATGAGATTATGCATAGTTGAAGCTGATCTATTTTTTGAACTAATATCAAACTTCCATTCTACATTGCTCTTACTAGGGAAAGGTAATTATAGAATGACACATTACATCTAAGAAGATGCTAAGGTCATAACTTCTCTTGGAGATTAACACAATTATGTTGAGAACTCATTTTCCAGGCTTACGTGAGATAACAGGAATATGACTATGGAAAATACATGATCCTTGATGCCAAGGAGCTTTTGGTGCAGAAGGGGAAAGACATTCAGCATTCAATCAGTCATCTAATTACTTGTAACTGTAGAGTAATATGAAGCAAAGTAACACCATGAGAGCAATTACAGATGATGCTAGCGTAACAGGAGGTCAAGAAAGCTTCCTTCAAGAGTCGACAACCTAACAGGAACCTGAAGGAGGAGCAGAAAGCAGATGGTACAGAGGGTGAAGGAATAGTAGGGGAAACTTTTTCAGGCACAGAAAACATCTAAGACATTAAGGTAGGAAGTAGCACAGATTGTATAAGAAACTGGGTAGGTGGTTTTATTATACCACAGTGAACATGGAATAAACTAGGCTATTAAACAGCTGAAAAGGGAGGAGTGACAGGAACCCTGTAGGAACTGTTAAGCAACATTAGAGATTTAGGAATTGATCATAAGGGCAGTTTGAGGCCACTGAACAAAAATTTTAATTAGGAGAGTGAGAGCAACAGAATTGTTTCAGACAGAATTTGGGCTGCTCTTCCTCAAAATATATACCAGAATATACTAGAGAAGCAAAAGGTAATGACAATTAGAAAATGATTAAGAGTGAAACGGTGAAACAAAAAGAGAAAAACTGTCCAGAAAGACAGTGAACTCAGTATGATGTTAGTGCAGAAGCGGAGTGGTGTGATTTAAGAGCTATTTGAGATAAAAATCAGTGAGACTAGTTGACAAGATGTGAAGAGTTTGGGAGAGGAGGTTTCATGGGTGATTCCAAGTCCCTGACATAAAGTATCAGATTAAAGAAGCTGGCATCTATTGAGATAAAAAACAAAAAAAAACAAAAACAAAAAAAAAAACACTGAAGGAGATGATCTTTCCTAGATCAAGGTTGTTTTGGACTTCTGAAGTTTCTCTTCTACCCTGAGTGACTCTCCTTATAAATTTTTCTTTGTTAATCTGCTAAGGAATTTTTCTCTAGGGTTTGATTCCCATTTAAACAGCTAGAGGAGTGGTATTTACACCAAATGGAAGGGGAGGTAAGGGAACAGGAAAGAAAATTACTTCTAATCCCTTCAAAATAGCTCTTCCTCCTGAGGGAAAATAACTCCAATGTTCTCATATGATACTACATATCCCACTGCTATTTTATTTATATTGACATTAAAATGCTCAAAATTATTTTCTATTTTTTTATCATAAAGCACAGACAACAAAAGTAGAAACTCAAAAAGATAGCAAATTTTATACTTAAAATCAAGCTTCATCTCAATAAGTATTTTTGAATATTTAAGTATCAAAGCAATTGCCCTTGAAAATACACCATTTAATTATTTCCAGTTAACATATTTTCACAGTGTAACACATAATCTTAATATATACAGTCAGCCCTCCATATCTACATATTCTGTATCCATGGGTTTCACAACTGAGAATTCCACCAACCACAGATGGAAAACAGAGTTAGGCCTACTATGGTGTGTCTGTACTGAGCATGCCCAGGATTTTTCTTCTTGTCACTAGTCTCTAAACAAAAGGTAAAACAACTATATAGCTGCTACATTGCATTAGGTATTTAAAGTAATCTAGAGATGATTTAAAGTCCACGGGAGGATGTGCACAGATTATATGCAAATGCTACTTAATTTTATGGAAGGGATTTGTTGACCATCTGCAGATTTTGGAATCCTGGACTCAATCCTCTGAGGGTACCGAGGGATGACTGTGTTTCGAGACATTGATACTTCATAAAACAAACATTTAAACATGCCCAGTACTTATTTTACTTACCTCTAAAAGAAAATCCCCTAGATACTGAATTGGATAAAATGGAGCCTTAAAGTTATCTTTTTCTTTCTCAGCACTGATTCTTGCATTACTGGCAATCACGTGAGTTATTCCACTTGGTGAACTTTTTGGCAAAATGACATCTGCCTTTCCAGCCTCCAAAACTCTAAATAAAAATGTAAATAGTATAGGATATTTTAGAAAAATTGAGTATATTTAGTCAAATAATTTAAATCAATTACTTTTCAAGAATTAGAGTGGAATTTTCTACAAGGAAGTTAATTCTTTTGGGCTACTGAGGCTCATGAAGAGCAATTAACCCAGTAAAATTTTGAGGTACAAGTCGCTGAGAAAAGATGTTTAAGAAATGTAATATTGTTTTTACTTATCCATTGTTTAACATAAGATAAGTTTTCATGAAGCAATAATACTAAAGTAGTCTCTACACAAATGTCATACCAGCAAGACAAAAGAACAATGAAGAAAGTTAAAGGAAGCAGCTATCCAGGAAGACAGCACATCTCCAAGAAAATCAGTGGCCAGTTGTTAAACCTTTAAAAGTTAGCTTTTTTGGGGCCGGCGCTGTGGAATAGAAGGTTAAGCCTCCACCTGCAGTGCTGGCATCCCATGCAGGCACTGCTTGGAGTCCTGGCTGCTCTACTTCCTACCCAGCTCTTTGTAATGTCCCTGGGAAAGCAAAGAAGATGACCCAAGTGTTTGGGCCCTGCACACACATGGGAATACTGGAAGAAGCTTCTACCTTGGGCCCCGGCCATTGTGGCCATTTGAGGAGTGAACCAGGGGACGGAAGATCTCTAACTCTGCCTTTTGAATAAATATATTTCATATATAGGTTTTTTAAAAGAAATTGGAAACCAAGCAAAATTAGCACAGTACTGTAGAAAACTAGGAGTCCCTAACACATGGAAGCCTGTGCTCACAAGTTCTCTGTGACAAATCTCCATTAGTACTCATGGAAATGACTGGGGCAGATCAGGATAACAGAGGAAGCACTCCCTGGTAGCAAAGTTGGGTCCGTGAGTTTGGCTGCCACTAGGGATAGATATGAGATCAGACCCACTTCCCTGGGCCTTTCTATCACAGATAGTAAAAACCTTAAATCATTCGGCTAAGGAGGAGAAAATTTTCTGCCTTCAGACTCAGGAAAAGATGCACCGCAAGTCTCAGAAGGGTGGAAGTAAAACCTATCTGCCTCTAGGGTGAGGAGAGGAAAAATTCTGAAAAAGATTGGTTGTTTCTAAATAAGGGATAGAGTTAAAAATCTCTGCCCTGAAGCAGGGATAGGAATGCCACAAAGGCCCAGTATCTTGAATTAACGCCCAACAGAGATCTAATTTGTAGAGAAAGGCTGGAAACTAGCTCTTGTCTAAGACCCTAACCACAGATTGAAGACGGAATTTGGCTTCCAGGGATATTGAGACATAAATACTAAGAAAGTTTGAAGCTCACAGAGCAATCACAGAGAATGCTTAAGATTGAATCCTGTCTAGTAGAACTAAGAATATACTCATTCACACAACTGGCCTAGAAATTAGGGAGAACAGAGAGAAGAGTAAGAAGAGAGTTCTTCTGTGACCTAGTAGTGCAAGGACTCCTGAAAGCTGAGGGTAGAGCAAGAACACTGATGAAAAACCCTCTAGCACCCAAGGCCCCAGATCAAGCATAAAAAATTGGAGCCCAGGCCGGCGCCGTGGCTCAATAGGCTAATCCTCCACTTTGTAGCGCCGGCACACTGGGTTCTAGTCCCGGTTGGGGCGCCGGATTCTGTCCCGGTTGCCCCTCTTCCAGGCCAGCTCTCTGCTGTGGCCCGGGAGTGCAGTGGAGGATGGCCCAAGTGCTTGGGCCCTGCACCCCATGGGAGACCAGGAGAAGCACCTGGCTCCTGCCATTGGATCAGTGCGGTGTGCCGGCCGGGGTGGCCATTGGAGGGTGAACCAACGGAAAAGGAAGACCTTTCTCTCTGTCTCTCTCTCTCACTGTCCACTCTGCCTGTCAAAAAAAAAAAAAAAAAGGTATATACATGTCACAGCACTCATACACTACTGTTTGAGTAAAGCACTGTTTCTGAACACTACTAAATTCAAAAGGAGTTTAGGAATTCTGGTTTCCCTTGGCCTAGGAACCAACTTAGTCTCTTAGATTAATTTCATTCAAGTGGTCCTTGGCATTTTTAAGAGATCCAGTATCTAGGCTGGCGCCACGGCTCAACAGGCTAATCCTCCGCCTAGAGGCACCGGCACACCGGGTTCTAGTCCTGGTCGGGGCGCCGGATTCTGTCCCGGTTGCCCCTCTTCCAGGCCAGCTCTCTGCTGTGGTCAGGGAGTGCAGTGGAGGATGGCCCAAGTGCTTGGGCCCTGCAGCCCATGGGAGACCAGGAGGAACACCTGGCTCCTGCCTTCGGATCAGCGCGGTGTGCCGGCTGGGGTGGCCATTGGAGGGTGAACCAACGGCAAAAGGAAGACCTTTCTCTCTCTCTCTCACTGTCCACTCTGTCAAAAAAAATTTAAAAAAGAAAAAAAAAAATTGGAGCCCAGTGATGTAAAATGAAGTGAAAGAATAAAGATGTCAAAAGCATTATAAACACAGCCCAGTCCACGAGAATTAACCCAACTGCACATAATAACTGCTGTGCAGAAGACTCATTTTTGGATATAAATACTGTTTGCCTCAAATCTACTGTTCTTGTTCATGTGATGTCTGACACACTAATAAAAAAATATGACACAGCAACACACACACAACAAAAATACTGCAGAGAACTGAGGATTTAATAGCACAGAGTGAATAATGATCAACTGGTGAAATTATCAGTAAATGACATAAAATAACTGAGACTGGGGGGTGGGCATTGTGGTCCAGCAGGTTAAGCAGCCCTTTTTTTTTTTAATCTTTTTTTTTAACTTTTATTTAATAAATATAAATTTCCAAAGTACAGTTTATGAATTACAATGGCTCCCCACCATAAGTTCTTTTTTTTTTATTTAATAAATGTGAGTTTACAAAGTGCAACTTTTGTATTGTTGTGGCTCCCCCCCCCCAACCTCCCTCCCTCCCGAGGTCCTCTCCTCTCGCACTCCCTCTCCCATCCCGCCCTTCATCGAGTTTCATTTTCAATCACCTTCATATACAGAAGATCAAGTTAAGCAGCCTTTTGGCATGCCCTCGTTTTGTATCAGAGTGCTGGGTTCAAGTCCTGGCTACTCCATGCCAGAAGCTGAGTCAGCTTTCTGCTAAGAATGTAACAGGGACAGAGTGGATGATGGCCCAAGTACTTGGGTTCTTGCTACACACATGGGACACTTGGAGAGTATTGGCTTCCTGGCTTTGGTCTGCTATAGCAAAGGCTACTATGGACATTTGGGGAGTAAACCAAGGGATGGAAGACTGCTTTCTATCTCTGTGTCACTCTTTCATTCAAACAAATCTTAAAAATCTAACTGTGACCAACATAAAGAATATAATGGAAAAGGTGGACAAAAGCACGAGTGATGGGAACTTTAGCAAAGAGTACAATGGACAATACAGAAATTAAGGGAACTACATTGAGGAATTTTTTGACAGGCTTATCAGCAGACTGGACAAAACAGAAAAAGGAATTATTGACCTTGAAGATAAGTCAACAGACATTATTCAAATAGAAATACATTTTTTTTTTGGTAAAATAGAGTGTGCAACAACTGTGGAATGAAATAGTGTAACAAACATTCAATGGATTTCCAGAAAAACCAAAGACAATACATACTTGAAAAAGATAGTCTTCTCATTTGTGAATTTCCTATTCAAATTTTTTGTTTAGTTTTACTGTATCTTCTTTTTCTTATTTATCTGTAGAATTTTTTATATTATAGATACAATATTTTGTTTACTATGTTGTAACTATCTTTTGATATGTTGCTTATCTTAATTTTTGATCATACATGACTTTTACTAATTTTGAAATGTACATTATAATGGGTCTTCTGACTGATCAGAAAAGTATATCAATAAATCTTGTTTCAGTTCAAAAAACAAAACAAAACAAAAGATAGTGACTAAGAATCCTCTGTAATTAATAAAAGACAAAACAACAACAATAAATGGCCAAGACATTCAGAGAACCCTAGAAAAATGAAATCAACAATATACATATAATAAAAGGTCAGCAGAAAACCATCAAGGAAACCAGGGAAAAAGAAATTAAACAGAGAAAGAAGGAATGCAATGGCAGCTGACTTTTCATCAGAACTATGTAAGACAGAAGATAGTGGAACAGAATTTTTAATTAATGAAAGTAAAATAACTCATAATTCTACAACCAGTAAAAATATCCTCCCAGAATGAACGGTTTCTCAAATAAAAGATGAAATTAACCACTGCCAGGCAGACCTGCACAAGAAGCACTAAATGAAGTTCTTAAGCCAAAGGAATATAGTATCTACATGAAGAAACAAACAGTGCTAGAAAATAATAAAAATGAAGTCAGATAGTAGACGTATGTAATTATTTTTAATCACTTTAAAAATAATTGCCAAATGTTAAGTATTACCAATGTATTTAGGGGTTTACAGTATATCCAGAGGTCAAAAATAAAACACAGGACAGGAGGAACAAATGAAGTATACTCTTGTAAGGATTTCTAACTCTGCAAAATGGTGTAAGATTAGACTATGATCAGTTAGAGATGTGTAATATAAACAATAGTGACCACAAACAATAAGAGAGAGATACAACCTTATGTGGAGAAAAAAGGAAATCACTGAAAAATACTCAGAGCATAGGGCTGGTACCGTGACACAGTAGGTTAAGAAGCTGCTATTTGTGACACCAGCATCCCATATCAGAGCCCTGGTTCAAATCCTGTTTGCTCTGCTTTGGATCCAGCTCCTTACTAATGTGCCTGCAAAGGAAGTAGAAGATGACAAGTATCTGTGCCCATGCCACCCACATGGGAGACCTGGATGGAGTTCTAAGCTCCTGACTTTATCATCCTGGCCCAGTTCTGGCTGTTTTGGGCATTTGGGGAGTCAACCAGTACACAGAAGAACTCTTTCTCTGTCTTCCTGTCAACTCTGCCTTTTAAATAAATTTTTTTAAAAGAATTATTTATTTTTATTTGAAAGTCAGAGTTACACAGAGAGAGGAGAGGCAGAGACAGAGAGGTCTTAC